GGAGAAATAACCTAACTCATCATACTCCCAAATTTAGAGATTCATACTACCAACTCTTACATGAACAGGCTCGAGCCAGCCGTCTCAAACAAATGAAGCAACGAAAAGAATTAGCTAAACCCCTCATACCACCAATATCAGATATTTCCACTAATATTTCATACTTCAACAGACTCTATGCAGTCGTATCAAACAACTGAAGCAGCAAAGAGAATTAGACTAACTCCTCTTGCTCCCCTTAACAAAAATTCAAACTACCAACGCATACATCAAAGACATGGCGAAGCAGCAAAGAGAATTAGCTTAACTCATCTTAATCCCAATACTAGAGATTCACACTACCAGCTCAAATGTTAACAGACATGATGCTGCTGTCTAAAACAAATGAAACAGCGAAGATATTTAATTGAGCTTCTCCTACTCCCAATAATATAGGTTTACACTACCAACTCATACTTCAACAGACGCGATGTAGCCGTCTCAACCAGATGAAGCAGCGTAGAGAAGTATCTTTACTCCTATTACTGCAATTAATAAAGATTCACACTACCAGCTTTACATCAACAGACTCTTTGCATCCGTCTCAAACAAATGAAGCAACGAAGAGAAGTAATTGACCTTATCTTACTCCCGATAATATGTATTCACATACCAACTCATACATAAACAGCCTCGATCCAGCCGTCTCAAATAAATGAAGCAGCGAAGAGTAGTAGCTTCGCTCCTCATATCTCTAGTATCAGATGTTCACACTAATATTCCATACATTAACAGACTCTATTCAGCCGCATCGCACAACTGAAGTAGCAAAGAGAATTAGCCTAACTCCTCTTGCTCCCAATAATAGAAATTCAAACTACCGACGCATAAATTAACAGAATCGATACAGCCGTCTCGAACAAAGGAAGAAGCCATTAGAAATAGCTTAACTGTTCATGCTCCCAACAATAGAGATTCACACTTCAAGCTCATTTTGCAACAGACTCGATTAACTCCTATCGCCCAATATAAATTAACACTACCAGTTCGTTTATCAGCAGACTCGATTCAGCCGTCACAAACAATTGAAGCAGCGAAGAGGAGTAGCTTAACTCCTCATGTTTCCTGTATTTGATATTCCCACTACTGTTTCTTTAAATCAACAGTCTCGATGCCGCCGTCTTAAAAAAATGAAGCAGCGAAGAGAAGTAGCTGAACTCAATTTACTCCCTAAAATAGAGATTCACACTACCAGCTCAAATGTTAACAAACTCGATGCTGCCGTCTAGAACAAATGAAATAGTGAAGAGATTTAATTGAACTCCTCCCACTCTCAATAATATAGGTTCACACTACCAATTCATACTTCAACAGACGCGATGTAGCCGTCTCAAGTAGATGAAGCAGCGAAGAGAAGTAACTTTACTTCTATTACTCCAATTAAAAAAGATTCACACTACCAGCTTTACAGCAACAGACTCTTTGCGTCCGTCTCAAACAAATAAAGCAGCGAAGAGAAGTAATTGATCCTATTTTACTCCCGATAATATGTATTCATATACCAACTCATACATAAACAGGCTCGACCTAGCCGTCTCAAACAAATGAAGCAACGAAGAGAAGAAGCTTAACTCTTCATACCTCCAATATCAGATATTCACATTATTATTTTATACGTTAACAGAATCTATGCAGCCGTATCGAACAATTGAAGCAGCAAAGAGAAATAGCGTAACTCCTCTTGTTCCCAATAATAGAAATTCAAACTACAAACGCATACATCAACAGACTTGATGCAGCGGTCTCGCGCAAAGTAAGCAGCGAAGAGAAGTAGCTTAACTCTTCATGATCCCTACGATAGAGATTCACACTAAAAGATCATACAGCAACAGACTCGTTGCAGCCGTCTGAAATAAATGAAGCAGCGGAGAGAAGTAGTTGAATTTTTCCTACTGCTAATAATAGATATCCATATCCAAATACCAACTCATAAATCAGCTCATATACCAACTCATATACCAACTCATTCTTTTTCACCCGTCGGTGAAAAAGAAGCTTTTAAGAGATTTAATTGAGCTCCTCCTACTCTCAAGAATTTAGATTCACACTAACAAACTAATATATCAACAGACGCGATGCAGCCGTCTCAAGCATTAGAAGCAGCGGGAGAAATAACCTAACTCATCATACTCCCAAATTTAGAGATTCATACTACCAACTCTTACATGAACAGGCTCGAGCCAGCCGTCTCAAACAAATGAAGCAACGAAAAGAATTAGCTAAACCCCTCATACCACCAATATCAGATATTTCCACTAATATTTCATACTTCAGCAGACTCTATGCAGTCGTATCAAACAACTGAAGCAGCAAAGAGAATTAGACTAACTCCTCTTGCTCCCCTTAACAAAAATTCAAACTACCAACGCATACATCAAAGACATGGCGAAGCAGCGAAGAGAATTAGCCTAACTCATCTTAATCCCAATACTAGAGATTCACACTACCAGCTCAAATGTTAACAGACATGATGCTGCTGTCTAAAACAAATGAAACAGCGAAGATATTTAATTGAGCTTCTCCTACTCCCAATAATATAGGTTTACACTACCAACTCATACTTCAACAGACGCGATGTAGCCGTCTCAACCAGATGAAGCAGCGTAGAGAAGTATCTTTACTCCTATTACTGCAATTAATAAAGATTCACACTACCAGCTTTACATCAACAGACTCTTTGCATCCGTCTCAAACAAATGAAGCAACGAAGAGAAGTAATTGACCTTATCTTACTCCCGATAATATGTATTCACATACCAACTCATACATAAAAAGCCTCGATCCAGCCGTCTCAAATAAATGAAGCAGCGAAGAGTAGTAGCTTCGCGCCTCATATCTCTAGTATCAGATGTTCACACTAATATTCCATACATTAACAGACTCTATTCAGCCGCATCGCACAACTGAAGTAGCAAAGAGAATTAGCCTAACTCCTCTTGCTCCCAATAATAGAAATTCAAACTACCAACGCATAAATTAACAGAATCGATACAGCCGTCTCGAACAAAGGAAGAAGCCATTAGAAATAGCTTAACTGTTCATGCTCCCAACAATAGAGATTCACACTTCAAGCTCATTTTGCAACAGACTCGATTAACTCCTATCGCCAAATATAAATTAACACTACCAGTTCGTTTATCAGCAGACTCGATTCAGCCGTCACAAACAATTGACGCAGCGAAGAGGAGTAGCTTAAATCCTCATGTTTCCTGTATTTGATATTCCCACTACTGTTTCGTAAATCAACAGTCTCGATGCAGCCGTCTTAAAAAAATGAAGCAGCGAAGAGAAGTAGCTGAACTCAATTTACTCCCTAAAATAGAGATTCACACTACCAGCTCAAATGTTAACAAACTCGATGCTGCCGTCTAGAACAAATGAAACAGTGAAGAGATTCAATTGAACTCCTCCCACTCTCAATAATATAGGTTCACACTACGAACTCATACTTCAACAGACGCGATGCAGCCGTCTCAAGCAAATGAAACAGCGAAGAGAAGTAACTTAACTCCTCTTACTCCCAATAATAGAGATTCTTATACCAACTCATGCATCAACAGACTCGATGCAGCCGTCTCAAGCAAATGAAATAGCGAAGAGAAGTAACTTAACTCCTCTTACTCCCAATAATAGAGATTCTTATACCAACTCATGCATCAACAGACTAGATGCAGCTGTCTCAGAGAAATGAAGCAGCAAATAGAAGTAGTTGAATCCTCCTACTCCCAAATCGAGATTCTTACTACCACTCAACTCATATATCAGCAGACTCGATGCAGCCGTCTGAAACGAATGAAGCATCGAAAAGAAGTAGCTCAACTCCTTGTTTGTTAGAAACCCTATCTTTGGACCGTTTAATCATGCTCATTTACTATGCCATTCCTCGTATTTCGAAACAACTTTCTTCCTCAGATTGAATTTCGCTCGATAATAGATCACAAATCAAAAGTTTCAAGCAGGTTTTTCTCAAAGGAATGTATCAAGTTGTATACATATGGTTTATGTATATATATATTTTATGGTAAGTGATTTTGCGTGGAAAACAAAAAGAAATACAACGGAAACACACCCGAGTTTTGCAAATGGTTGGAACATTAAAATACAACAATAAGAGGAAACATAAAGATAATTTTTTCCGCAAAATAATTTTATGCATGAAGGATTTGATTTTGGCAATGATTTTTGTCGCTTTTTGTTTGAATTTGGGTAACGACCAACTTAAAGAAGAAAATCATTTATTTTCTCTTGGTGCTCGCGGTATGTGTGTTATTATGCGATATAATCCTTTAACATAACTTATTACAAAAGCAAAGCTTGTGTGATAAAATTACTCTCTTTTTATCCAACCTAAGTTGCAAATATTAGTGTTCATTTTGAACGTGTTCTTATATTGCAGTATATGAATAAGATCAATAACCGGCTATTAAGTACAGCCTATGCTAAGGATATTTACAGAGACTATTTTATTACAAATATCACTTCAGCTTCAAGGTATCATGGATCTGTAGCGTAGAGGTAGGGAAGGAGACCCGCAACAAAATAAGAGGGTCCGAACCTGGGCAGGGTTGGATATTTTTAATGAAATATTTCGTATATTATTTAAAATGCGTCCGCTCTATAAATTGAGTTATGTTAGTTGGTAAGTTTCTGCTTTCAAATTGACTGGTACTGCTAATGCGTCATTATTGTGCTACTGGGAAAACTGAATGTTTACTCATTCAGTTTTTCCCAGTAGCGTTATCCGTCATATTTTTGCTTGTGTATGCGAAGTGTAACTTCGCCTCTGTGTAATATTTGGTATAATTTAATAGTGTTATCAACCGGGCTCGCACCCATCTAACCAATTGCTGATTTTGTGCAGGAAAATTGTCCTTGTCTAAAATCAAAATATGTCGCTACAATTGGTGGTCGGTCAAACATGAAACCAAAATTATCAAGATTTAAAGATATTTTCGTTTCAGGGCAATACTATTACGTGGATCACAGTGGGTATTTCGATGCAACCACTAGCTACGATTGGGAGCGTTGGAGAGCCAGTGGAAGTTACTCGGCTCAGCCATCGCCCAAAATATCTCCGAGAGGCGCTCTGAAAGTGAGACCTGTGAGCTCCAATGAACATGAGAGCTTCGAGGAAAGTTCACCAGACTATGTAATGAGTTCATCAATATACTCTAGTTATTCTGGACCGAAAGGTGCCGTGAGTAGGCCTAGAAATGGATCTCTGGGAACCTTCATGATGGCTCCGAACTCACCGATGTTGCAACCGATGCCAGTGCTTCCGGTTCCATCGAGTGCAGAATCGGGAGGCACCGAGCACAGCGATAGTGTGTTCACGTACTACAACGGACCTGCATCGGCATCCGCAACAGCTCCTCCCGGATTTGCGTACCCCATGTTTTAGTACACCTGCATTTCTTCAAACAGCGGCACAACATATAGCTCCAGAAACGAAACTAGTCACCACTCAACATAGAATTGTTTAGCCCCCCGCTTACGCGCCAAATTTCCTACCTCCATCTTTAGTTCTCTATTTTTGTTTTCCTCTTCATATTTCAAACTCTACTGTTACTAGCCTCGCCTCCTCGCCATGTTTTATGTTTGACAACTGATTATTAACCTAGTGTGCACGAAAGCAGCTTTTTAGTTTGCCGCGTTAGTTTTTCATCGGACCATTTATGTACAAAGGTAACGAGAAATGTGAAAATCATTATAGCAGTAACAGCTCCGGTTTTGTTTCAAAACTCGATTTTGGTTTATGTCATAATTTTGTCTTATTTGTCTTAATGTCATAAATGTACGATGTTCGTGTTTTGGTTGGAATGGTGTTCTTATTTAGTTAAAATTATGGGTCTTTTCGTTTCTACAGCCCCCTAAATTTGTTGTTATTTTAAGTCCAGGTTTCTTACATCCTATGCCTGGAGATTAGATTTTTGCTAATTAGGTAGCTTTATTCGAAAGAAATGTCGCATTTTAATACTTCATTGAGTGTTAGATTTATTACAAAAAGACCCAAAATTATTAAGCTTTCGACGTGTTAGTTAGAGAAAGAGTTTAAATGAAATTGCTTTTGTCAGGTGTACTTTCATTCAAGCATTATCTCATTTAGTTTTGCGCAGTATGGAAAATAGATTTTATTTTTCGAATAGTTTTATCCGCTGGATCGGATTCTCAATTTGTAAATTCTGCGAGTTTGAAAATTGACAGTGATGTTAAAAAGTTTTAATGAATCTGGCTCTTCTTTGTGATCTGTACTTGTGTTGACTGGCCCCTGATAGTTTTCTATTTCTTGAATACTGAATTTCGAATAAAAACAATCACTAATTTATTAGCACATCTATCTAAATTCTTTCAAAAATTGTGCACCAAAAATTTCTCTCATAGTGAATTTAGATTTGTGCAATTCTATGAATTTATAAAGGCAACATACTAAACAGATTGAGTTGTCGCATCATATCAAAATGATCTTTAAAAATCGAATAGCGTCAAAATAGATTCGAGATGTCACCTAAATTGTATATTTTACTGAAATCGTTCATCGCGATTAAAATTTATGTTAGCACATATGTAAACGTTCTCATTCGAGTACTGAAATAGATTCTTGTCAGAAGTTAACCTTTTTCTTGTTTTGTTTGCCGCGACTTTTGAACTGCTACATTATCCACTTTGAGGGAGTTAACTGTAATATCTAATATCTATAAACACCATCCGAGACTGGTAATGTTGTTGTAGGGAAAATCAAAGCCAGAAGAACAGCCATCGGACAAAGAAGTTGCACTTTTTAGTTTCCAACTGATGAAATAAATGAAATTGTTCTTAACGTTTTTTTCGTTATATCTGTATTTACTTAAAGTTGCCTGACTGAAATTTCGATATACGAGGGCAACAATTTTTTAAAAGCCAGCAGAATCAAAACTTTGTTTTAAAGCCCTTTTTTGGCAATGCATTCAAAACTGGTCACAGAGGTGTTCTAGGTGCTCAAGAATCCATGTAAACACCATAAGTAGCGCAATTTTTTGGCTAAAACTTTTAATTGGAAATCTAAAGATCTTAGCTAGGTCATCATCTAAGTTTATCACCAATATTAGAGGGATTTCATTCATTTATTCAACTTGGACAAAATATTGACCTGGAGCTAAATTAGTAAAATTCTAGTGAATTTTCATTTTGCGACTGAATCGCTTTTGTCGAGGGAAAAATATGCGCTCAATATCAACGTTTCAGCCATGAATCTCAAGGAGTCGCCAGAAACAAGAAAAGCGGGAAAACATTTTCGTTCATTTCATCAGTTGTAATACACCCCCCATCGCCCACTCAGGAATTCGACCCCTTGCCGACCCAAAGGGTCCCCCTTGAACTATTTTGAGAGACACTAAAGTTTTTCTAAAGGCGGAGCGCGCGCAAAACTTTTTTTTTGAAAAAATGCCCTCCCCCCTTCCTTGAGAAGAAAATCTTAGATCAACCCCTGACATTTCTTACTTTCTTTAGCACATTTTGTGCGGGTTCTGCTCATCCGTCTCCTTGCAAAGGAATTTCACTGCTTCCACCGGCCTTAACCACAGGTCTGCCGGAGTAAAAGGGAAGGGATTTCTGGGGAAGTTAAAAATATGGCAACTAGTGTGAGGTAACAAGAGACTGTTAGAGCAAAGTGGGGAAACTTTGTTGTCTAAGCGGACGATGTTAGTATTTAAAAGCCGATTGTAACCAGACGGAAAATGAGAAAGATTACAGCAGGTTGTTCTCGGAAGAGACTGTTCAGAGGGGTCGGAGTGGAATTCAAATGACTTTTGAGGAAGGGTTTTTGCTAAGAACTTGCTTACGGGGTTAGTATGGATTTGTTTTAGAAGAGTCGTTAAGATTTAGTGAAGGGTTTTGATTGGTTAAAAAGGAGCCTGTGTCGTCTATAATGCACTTCAATTGGATTGTCGAACTTGACGCGGCAGTGAGTGGTAGGAGTAATAAAAATGATTTGTGCGAAAGGAATGCGACGATTTAAATTTTAAAGAACGTTCGCTGTTTGGAACTTTCAGGATCTCGACTTCACTGCAGGTGGGCGTAAAGCTCATAAAAATTGAGCTAGAGATTACACGGAGGGCTTGATTTTGGGCGACCTGCAGGTGATTAATAGAAGTTTTGCCGGCGGTGTGCGCCCCGGCTGTGAAGACATAATCTAAATTAGGGCGAAAAAAGGTTTTTTCAAGTTGAAAGTAAGGTTTCTTCAGACTGACTCCTTGAGGAACCTGTTAACGCCTTCAGGAATCCTATCTTGCGACAAGCCTTTTCATCAGCCCCTTTTGGGTGGCGGAGGGGCGTCATGTACGTAAAAATCGAAGTATCGGTGATAAAACAGGCCCGGGGAACTCCACGGTGAACAATTCTTAGGTGGATGCTTGGTTGTTAAAAGTTGGCCGTATAAATAGTTGCTCAGCCAGGGAACTGGCTGAGAACAATTCACGGTGAAAATTTCTTAGGGGGGTGTTTGGTTGTTAAAAATCGGCCTTATAAATAGTTGCTAAGCAAGTAACTATACCTCTTGGTAGCGGTGTTTAATGAGTGAGTTCTACTATTGTTCTATGTCATACCATATGAAAAACCTTTGAAAGGACATATGTGGCGAGAACAGTACGTAAGGGTGGGGTTTTGGTGGGGTGAAATGGGCGGAACCCATGTTTGGTGTGTGGCATTTGGGAGGTGCTTTGTTAAGAATTATAGATGAGCCTCTCTAAAATTTTGAAAGCGGGGCACTGCCCTATAATAGGCTTATACGATGTGGACTTTTAATGGTCCTTATCACATTTCAGCAAGGGGATTACTTTGGAATTTGGGTGATAGTATTATCAGACAGCGAGCAGTTAAATGAATAAGTCAAGTGATCAAGTGCAAGAGGTCCGAGGTGTTTTAGCTGGGCATTACAAAGGTCATAGGGACTAAGGGCGAGCGAGCGTTTGCTATCCGCAATGGCTTGTTTAGTTTGTTGAGGGGAGACAGTTGGGCTATCAGATAGAGAACGTTTGGCTAATTTGTGTTCAGTTTTCCTGAATAACTTATCAGAGGCATGCTTCTAGCGTTTGTAATTTAATTATTAAACGCTTTTGCTATATCAGTTTTCGAGTTTGAGCCAAATTTAATGGGGTACCTATCTACCAATGGCCTGGTTCGGTTTAGGGAGCGTACCACTTCCCAGAACCATCTGGCACGAGTGCGGTAATCATAGGTCTTGATGATTGTACGCCATTTACTTCTCTTGTCTTTTGCTGTCTGATTCAATAGTTGGGAGTTAAGTTGGGAAAATGTGTAACGAGAATGCTGCGAGGGCTGATTTTTTATGGCGGCCACGATCTCTTTCAACAACAAAAAAGCTGACTCTGGAGAAAGAGACGGGGTGTAGGTAGTGGTGGTGGCGTGCTGCCCTGAGCACCAGATCCCAGAAGAGTTTCTTCCCGACCGCATTTGAAAAAGGAATTCCCGAAACAAGAACAGCCGCCTCGGTAAATTGCTGCCAACAAGTCCTCAGGAAATTTATGTATGCTTTTTTTGGAGAAAAGTGTGTCTTTACTGAAACACAATTGATCTGTAAAGCTTTATGACATGCATTGAAGTGATCGAAGCAGAAGGCTGAGAAAGGTTAATTTAATTCTTAATCTATAATTTTTTACCGTAAATGTATTTGGTATCGATTATCAGAAGCCAGAGGTTGATGAGTGAGTTGCATAGTTTTCAAGGGTTTTTCGAATGAAAGACCTTTTAGACTGTTGAAGAGTATAGTTTGTAATTATCAAATACAGATTACAGATAAATGATTTTACAGTGGTTTTTCGGCTGAAATTTAATTCATACCTAACTGCGTTATGTTTTAATCCAAAGTTTTTGTTAGGCTTCGCGTGTGTGGGGTTAATCATTGAGAATGAAACGATTTCTGTTCGGCCGCAAAATCGTTCGATTGGTAATTAGTATATTCGGACGAAAAGTTGATTTGATTAAATTCCCCTATTACTTGAAAAACTTCTTCATCATCAGGTTGGTTGACCTTTTTATATTCATTTAGTAAACTTAAGTGGTGAAACCGTTTTGTTTCGATCTGTTCACGTTGGCACGTTCTTTGTGTTTTAAACTGGGACACATATTCTGAGGCAGGCTCAGCATTTTTCAGTCCATTTCAAATTTCACAATTTAAAAGAGCTTTAGCTGCGTAATTAAGGCGCATTAATTTGTACCTATGAAGTTAAATGCCGTTTTTATATGCAAAACTTAGCTCACGCTCATTTTTAGATCTTGACGCTTTTAACATGGGATTTATATTTTCGCTCTCTTTTCAAGTGCGTTAGATCTGTGGTCTTTAATTGATTTGGATGTGCTATTCGAGGGAGCTTGCTAGCGAAGTGCTTTTCGGCCGGGGCTTTTTGCCAACGCATCACGAAGCTTAGTGCAAGTAATAGTTTTGAAGGACACTTTCGGAAATATCGAAAACCCTAGCTCAAATCTGAAAAATGTACTTACACTGCGATTATTTCTTTTAAAATTTTGGGAGGCTGCTATCCAATTACGTAATTATTTAAGGGTGCTGAGATATCTCCGTAGGTGGCAGAGATGCAACTGATTTAATTCAGCTGACTAAAAAAATCGGCTCCTAACGGCATTCGAATAAATAGCTGAGAGAATTTTTCATATGTTTTTGGCCTGTAGTTAACAATGTAATTTTTTCCAATAAAATCTGTTTTTTTTTCTACCTGTTAGCATCAAATTAAATTACTGTCTGCTTTTTGCCGGCTTTGTTTGTTCGTTTATTCTCGGATCTCAAAAATACCTCTCAAAGTTTTCAGGAGATATCAAAAATGGATTTAAATCGATCAAGACGGAAAAAAGCCAATTTTCGAGAAAAGTCATTAGAAACTGAATGCCGTTTCGACCTTGAGTCAAGCTGCAATGAGAAATTTCAGTCGAGTTGATTTGTTTTTTTTTAAATTAATTTGGAGCGACGAGTATAATTAATTGGGTGGAAGAGTAATTTAGCGGTATTTTATAAAAAGCAATATAAAGTTTTGTTTATGAAGCTATTTTAACGTGTTTCAGAAGCTCACTTTACTATCTTTGTTGCCCCCTACTAGGCAAATTTTCTGTCAAAGTTATCTGTATTTATTTTTTCGGCAAAAAATGGCTAGGATTGGAGAATCCAGTTTTACTTGCGCAAGGACCAGCGACTCTTATTTATTATAAAAGTTTTATAAAAGCCAGGCAGTAATAAAATCCATAGTTCATTAAAAAAATCCATAGAGTATTCTAGTTTACATACGTACTTACAGTTCATTTTGACTGTTAATTTTGACTTTCTGACTGATTTGGTTTTCAGAATCAGCAATGGCCGCACAAGAAAACTCTCCGACGGCTGTTGAAAGTGCAAGTCCAAATACTGGAAGCACCCCTGCAGTAACGCCACCTCCTCAGCCGTTGAACCCAGCTGCTAAAAAGCTTCAAAAACTACTGGAGAGCAGATTTGAAACGGACAAAGAAGCAATCGCTGCCATGCAATACCTGTCTGAAGTGATGCCAGACAATACAATTGCAGCCAGAAGAAATTTGAGAAGTGACCTTGAAAGAAGAAATCTGGCAACAAGTCGTGATTTCCTTAATAAGTTCAAGGTCATCAGGGATGAGTTGCATGCGTTGTCGGATGTTGTAGACGAAATTTCGACAAGTTGTACTAGTAAGTAAAGTTTGGAATTGAAATATTTTCAAATTTCTGAAAGAATTGAACTTTTGACAAATAATGAAATTTAATTCAAGCAAGTTATAATGTCATCTTCATTTCAGCAATGCAGGTAGAGCTGAAGGTCACTAAGGACAGTACTTCTGCTTTGATGCACCGAACTAACGAACTGAACAAAGAAGCAAAGCTATTAACTATGCAGCAGAAATTGACCGAAGCCTTCTGCAAGAAGTTCTACCTGCTTCCAGAGGAAGAAAGTGTCATCAAAAGCAAAGAGTTCCTTACTCTACAGGAGGTTCCGCAATTGCTAGCTATTTTGAAGAAGATAAAGATGATCCACGAAGATGCGAAGGTGTTGCTGAGGACTAAAAACCAGACTACTGGATTGGAGATTGTGGAGAGAATGGGATATTTTGAGGAGCAGAGTTTCGAGAAGCTGTACAGATGGGCACAGCGTGAATGCAGGTCCACCATTGCATGTATTTAGTTTAATAATAGAATTTAAAAATGATATTTTTGTATGGCACCAATGAATTACCTTAGATATTTAAAAAAATCGTCCTCGACTCAAATTTTCCATGAAACTTTTTTTAAATCCTTTTACCAAACTAATAAATTTATCTCAATTTATCTCAATGTCCTTACGTTAAAAATTAAATTTTTTTAATCGGCTTGTAAATTTTATTTACAGAAACATGGTATCAGAGAGTCCCGAAATCCACCCGCTCCTAGTTGAAGCACTAGCTGCACTGAGCGAGCGCAAGACCCTATTAAACTACACTATGGACGAATTGTGTATGGTGCGTAAGGGTGTGGTCTCTAGAGGTTTCATTGATGCCCTGACGAGAGGAAGCAGTGCAAGTGGTCCGACTAATACGTCTGTGAAGCCGATCGAGATGCATGCACATGATCCAGTGAGGTATATCGGAGACATGCTTGCCTGGATTCACCAAGTAAGTTTGCACTTCCATTTTCCTGCTAAGTTAGAGCAATCGAACACCATTCCTCCACGAGGGAAACGATCAACTTACAAATTCTTTATCAATCGTGAACTAGACTTTTTTCCCGAAAATAACTTTTCTCACAAATTTGTATGAACTCGATCTTGCTTTAATATCGAACCTTAGCAACTTCGTGGCGCCATCCCACTTAGTATGGAGGTAATGCAGTTGCTTTTGCACCCAATGGTTTTGAATATAGTACCTGCCGGACCTTGTTTTTTTTCAGTGTCTAAAATAGGTATTTTTTTTTCCTGGAAAAATTGATTAGTTGGGATTATAGTTTGTCGGCTTATGTTTTGTCGGGTTATTTGCCTCACCACGATTTTGTTTGCACTGTAAGCAATTTTATTGTAGTTACGAGTGTCTTGTTTAACTCCTGTAGTTGGTAAATTTACTTACCCTGTTTGGTATATTTTCCGTGTTTTATATTCGGTCGAAGTGGTTTCAGCTTATGTTTTGTCGGTTAAGTGAGTTTAATTTGCTTCCGCTTAAGATCAAAAAAATTGTTTTCAATAATTTAGGTCCATTATAGTGTTGAAGTTAAAAGGTCAAACAATTTAATCGCTCAAAGTATTTTTATTAACAATTTCTTTTGGCGTGTTTTGTTTTCGGATCATTTGGCGTCTTTTCACGGGTTTTTGGCTGAGTTAATGCTCGGAAAATATTAAAAGCTTGTTCAATTGATGCTAATGGTTGTGATTCTCGCCTGTTTTTCTGAAATTGAGTTTTCCTCTTACTGATTTAGTTATTTTTATCTTACTTCTTTCTTACTATTTGGTAGATTGCAATGCTGCGTTTCGGTTGCTTCGCAAGTGATGCAAAGCTCCGCTTCGCCTCTGTGATGAACTTTGAAATTTGCGTTTTTACTGCACCTGTGCTCAGCTTGTCCTATTTAACGAATTATTATGAAAATTTACATGATAGGCAGGGGTGTAAAAGAGTAGTAGTGTTCGATGCACGAACCTGGCGTTTTTTTGGTATTCTATCTGTTCATGAGTTTTTTTTCAAACCATAAGTTGAAGCCTTTTTAAACAAGGATATTCGGTTACTGTACAAAAAAAATATTGTATATTGTAAAAAGTATTGTTTTTTCTGCGTGTTTTTTCTACTTGAAAACAAAAAAATGACACTAAAACTCCAAAAGCTAATTTCATTGGCTTAAAACTAAGCCTTCAGCGCTTACCTTAAGCATAGTTAAGCTGTTTTAAGCCCGCACGCTCGCTTTGTTCGCTCAAAATTGAAATAAATTTCAATCAGTTTTTCTCGATACTTGAAATCAGTTTTTCGCGCTCCGATGATAATTTGTGGTGGCTGATTCTGTGTGGAAAACGAAAAGAAAAAATTAAAACACACCCGAATACGAAGTTCCTCCAGTTTTTTCAAATGCTCGGAACAATAAGTCGTTGTTTGTTTTTCGTCGGAACTTCGCCTGTGACTAGCATTAGTTTATTCCCTGCGTTTTCTTTTACTAAATGAGGGTATTATTCAACTCGATCACTTTTAGGCTTTGGCGTGCGAACGGGAGTTGATTGAGATGATGCTGCAGAAAACAGACAGCACCAAAGAGGAGATTGGATACTTCGTCGCCTTCTCCAGCGAGGGTCTCTGTCGTCCTCTCAAGGTCAGACTGGATCACGTAATTGCAAATGATCCTGACGTCATCACAATGTTCAAAATCAGAGCTCTTCTCAAGTTCTACTTTTCGACCTTCGCTGAAAGCGTCTCCAGAACATCACCATTATGTACTGCGATGCTGGAAAATGGAAGTCTGTTCGATAAATTATTCTTTTCGACACTGAGAACGAGTTTGAATTCACTATGTGAGCAGAAAGAAACATTGACCGCAGATTTGACCCCGTCGAATGCGTTCGAAAAGATTTTGGTGTTGCTTCAGCAAATTTTGCATTCGTACAGCACGGCGTTTTTCGATCCCAAGGTGAAACAGCAGGATTTCAAGGCGGTTAGTTTCAGTTATTCCTTATTGGCATCAGAAATAACAACGGTTATTAGTGTCATAACTTTAGATTGTTTAATTTCATAACCAAAAGATATATATTGGATTTCCATAGATGTGTAATATTATAACCATCAAATTAAAACTGTGGTTTTTAATATTTTCTCAATATGTGGTGAAAGTTTTTTTTTTCTTTTTTTTTCCACTGCAATTGCTGCGAAGGTTTGCTTAGACCCACTGTTTAAAACTGGGCTTATTTATTTTTGGCTGTTATTGTTTAGCTAATCGACATCATTGTGTCATCGTTACTGCAATGTCTTCAGCAATCGGCAGCCAATACCACCACCCACGCAGACATGTCAGTGTACATGATGAACAGTCTACACAAAGCGAAAAGTGTTTTAAGCATATACGAATTCACAGATGAAAAAATCGAAATGCTCACGGGGCAAATTGACGCACACTTAGATACGATTATAAACGAACAAGTCATTGCATTTCTGAACTCAACAGATTTGATGTTCGCGTATAATAAACAAACGAATGTCGACAAAAACTTCTCAGAAGCGGATATCGAGAGAATGAAAAAAGCAGCTCATAATTTAGACCGACTTTTGTCCAATCCTGATTATTTCATGTTGCCGCAAAGTAGACTTATTTCAAGCGCGACTCTGAGAGAGGCGGCGATCACGAGATGTCAGAGTTACTTTGCCCAGTTGTACTCGGATTTGTTTAAATATTTGCAAGAAGTAAGTAAAATGGACCTATCGGACGTAATGCGACACCCAGACCAAGTCAAGTCGCTGCTTGTTTGATGGAAAATAAATTAAATAATTTTGCTGAAATTATGAAAATCGAGTCGGCAACACGGTTGTATAAATCACACTGAAGTATAGGTTCCAAAAAGAAAAAACAATTGTTAAAGATTTGTTTCTTAAAAATTGTGTTTCAAAACTCTGCGGTTAAATGGCAATATCTGTAAATTTGATGTATATAAATCAATTGACATTATTTCGTTTCTTTTTTACGCAATTTTCTCATTATTACACTTGCGGACATCATCACTCAATGCAAAGACAAAGTAGGTGATGGGGATTAAAACCGTTTGTTTATGAGAGAACAGAACAGACCAGTATTCGTCAGATCAAAAATGGCCGATTCAGACCTGTTTAAGTGTCAGTGAACGGAATGAAGACGCTCATTTGAGTCGCGTATTTACACTTGCGAAGCAATTTGTTATAGTACGAACTTTCTTTTTTTCCAATCGAAGTCGCAAATATTGTTGCGACTTAAAGCAACAATATTTGCTGCGTCAAATTTGCTGCATCGAATTGACAATTAAATGTTTTGATATTTGTTGCACCTCTGATATTTAGTTGCACCTTCTCATCTTATTGAAAACATGTGCTTTGACATTCGAATAGTAATAAAATTACACAGTTGCGAAGCAATGTGTTATAGTACGAACTTTCTTTTTTTCCAATCGAAATCGCAAATATTGTTGCGACTTAAAGCAACAATATTTGCTGCGTCAAATTTGCTGCATCGAATTGACAATTAAATGTTTTGATATTTTGTTGCACCTCTGATATTTAGTTGCACCTTCTCATCTTATTGAAAACATGTGCTTTGACATTCGAATACTAATAAAATTACACAGTTGATGCTTTTTTAATTCATCAAGTGAACCGAAGAAAGCTATTTGTTTCAAACAACATAACAATAAAGAAATTTTCTAACAATATATCTCGCAATTTTTTTAAATGCATTATTTATACATAATGTGGCTATATGATTTGCGATTTTTTTACATGCAAAATTGTATCTTTTTCTATTTGATGCTACTTTTGCTGCATCGAATTGGCAGTTTATTATCATATGTAGCAGCATTATTGGTGGCTAGTTTTTGGGATTTTAAGCATCCGTGGCTGAATGGTAAGTGCGTGAGACTCAAATTTGCTAGGTCGCAGATTTTTGCTAATTTTCTACATCGAGTTTGCTGCAGATTTGCTGCATCGAATTGGCAATTTATTAGCAAATTTAGCTGCGTTAATAGTGGCTAAATTTGGGATTTTAAGCATCTGTGACTGAGTGGTTAGTTGGTGAGACTCAAATTTGCTAGGTCGCCGATTCGAATCCGACACAGCCAAGTTTTTGCTAATCCGAGGCTTATTTATGCTTTAACTTATGTCACGTGATAGAGCTGCTTTTTGGTCGTGTCCTCGCAATTGTTTACGAAGCGCAGTTTCGCCTCTGTGTTTAATTTTCATTTATTAAGTTTCGTCATGCGCAATTTTTGTCGTTGCTATTTTTTCCCGTAACGAATTTTTTCACCGGATAACTGAAACTGGTCAGCTTCAACTTAAATTTTGGTTATCTTTTAGCATCTTTAGGTGTTTTCTAATACAGTGGTGCTTAATCTGGAGCTGAAATATCAAGAAAATGTATTTGAGAAGTAAGTTGAATTGTTGAATCTTGACAGCCGTTTGGATTTCGTTTCAATTATTCTCAGCTCACTTGCCGTGTTTTCATTAAGCTTGCGAGTCGCAAGCGTTATCAAACCGGAATATAGACTTTTTGGGTTATCTACTAGTTAAACAGAATCACTTGAATCATTTTCCCTTTGGCTCCCTTGAAGTCAAAAGTCAGACGGTATTTCGCGCTTGTGGCGAAGAGGTAACGCACCTGCCCATAATTACAAAAACCAATGGATCGAATCCGACCAGGGTCTGTTTTTTTTTGTAAACGGAAAATTGTCCGAGCGTCAAAAAATCATTCTCGGACTTCTGTTTGTCTGCTTGTTTTTTGTCGGCTTAGTTGCAGCAGCATCAAATTTGTCTAAAATTTAGGCATTTACTACTTAGATTTTAAAATAATTTCAGTGTATTCCGGTTTTGTGTTTTCAAAGTCTTTTCGAAGGCTCTAAATAAAATACTCCGACCCTTGAAAAAATATGTTTTTTTAATTTTTGTGAAGTTAGAAAGATTTCGTTTCGGGTTTTTTTTTTCACTCAAGTAGATTGTTAGAATTTTTTCTGGGTACTTTCTGAGTGGCATGCTGTGTGAAATCATGTTTTTTTTTTGCTATAATTTCTGTCTCAGCTGGCTTTTCTGTTGGTTTAAGAGCATTGTAGCCATGTTTTTGCAGCCATAACACTATATTGCCTATCTTGCTATCACATCCGAAAAAATTTTATGTAAAAACTTAATTTTAGATCATAATTTTCAGAATTGATACTTTTATAATGTCAACATTGAAAAGTTTGCTTGACCGTTTCTCCTGGCTTAACGGGCGTCTACCCAAGTTTTGCCTGAATAGTTATTGATCGATGAATTTGGTATCAGTGCTTATTTAATATTGTCAATTGTGTTTCGCGACAGTTTTTCATCGACTTGAGTTTTGAGCCATGTGAATATTTAACTTGGTTTATTGCTATTTTCGTTTTTGTTTTGACTATTGGCTTTCGGCTAGTTCTGCCATTCTCTGGTTATAATGTATTCCAAGTGATGTATTTCACTGAGCTTTTCAAAAATAGTTAGGAAGCTTTTTTAAATTCAATTTTGAGCAGCGGTTTGTTTACTTATTACGCATGCGATTAGCAAGTGTTATCAAACTGGAACATGACTTTTTTTCTGGTTAACAACTTGTTTAACAGAATCATTTGAATGTATCATTTGTATCTTGATTCATAGTAAATTCAAACTTCTTTGCGTTCCCAGCCACTCTAGCCTGGAGGTAACGATTATGCCTTGGGCGGCAAAGGTCCTGGGTTGGAATCTGAGTAGGACCTGTTTTTTTTTCAAACGGGAAATATTCTGTTTCAAATAAAATGCTCGGCCAATTATTTGTCTGCTTATTAGTTTTCATATCTTGTAATCGATTTTTGCTGCGCGCATTTCTCATGAATGTTGCTTTTTTAGTGTTTGATTTGCTCCTGAAATATGTAATATTACTTACCTTGACTACGTATTTCCTTCTTTGTTTTTTTTCGTTAAAAAAACTCCTCGGTCCAAATTAATTCGGCCTATGTTTCATCTGTCTAATGACCTAATTTTGAGTCGTTTCAGGGAAAACATAATTTTAATACTTTCCTGCCTGAATACTCAGCTAGAGTCTTTTTCTACTTGACACCTCTGTTTAACGCCTTCGAAAAAGTGTGGGGGGTTATTTGACACATATTTTTGAATTTCGTTTTCTAGATAACTACCCCTCTCTGAGTTTTTGGTTGAAATAATTATAAATGTTTAGAAAAGCTCCCCTGCATTAGCGGCTACGCCCAATTTTTATCTACACAAAAAGTTATGGCCCTCGGAATAGTCCACTTTTTGATTTTTGACGGTGTTGTGATTCTTTCTGACTTTTCTCGAAAGCTAATATCTCAAATTTGATGTTGTGGGTTCAAGGGAGTTAACAGGAACCGAGAAGCTCCCCTGCATTAGCGGTCACTCACAAAAATTTTTACACTAAAAGTTATCGCCCTCCCTCGGAAAAGTCAAATTTTTTTAATCGATAACTATCCTCTTAAATCTGACTTTTTGGGTTTAATCGAAAATATAGGTTGCTTAAATTTCTTCTGCGTGAGCGGGTCTGCTATGTTTTTTTACACAAAAAAACTATGTTTATTACTAATGACATTTTAAATGCTGACCGTTTTTTGGACTTTTCTCTGTTTTGTTGACCGTTGTTTTTTTACTTTTCTCGCTAACTGTTCTGCCAAATTTGATATCATAGGTTTAATCGAAACAATAGGCTGTTGAAAGCTTACGTTTATAATTGGCCGAGCCCATTTTGTTTAAGATAAAAGTTATGGCCTCCAAACAATTCAAAGTTTTCAAACTTAGACAGATTTTTGGAAACTTTTTGAGTTGACGCGAAAACTACCGTGCCAACTCTCAGTTTGTGGTTAATTGAGAAACCCGGTTTTGAGAATCTTCTCTGCATAAGCGGCCACAACCTGCTTTTTGTTGAAACAAGTTATGGATTTTTCAAAGTCTTTTGACCGTTTTTTAGAACTTTTGACCGTTTTTAGAACTTTTGACCGTTTTTTTAAGAAATTTTTTGAATTTTCTTTATAATTAACCAATCAAATCTGAGATGAAAAGCTCAATTAAGAAACCAGTTGCAATTATTGTTCCTACAGAAATGGCGACTCCTTAACTTCTTGTAAGAGAAATGTTGCATCCTTGGGAAAGTTGATTATCTCAAAATTAGTAGAGAAACAACTAAGGTTTTGAGCAAAGTCCAAATTTTCAAATTACATTTTTCGTCCCGCGTGAGCACGTATAAATTCGTCCCGCATTTTTCGTCCCGCATCTTTCGTCCCGCATGAGCACGTATTTTTCGTCCCGCATAAATTCAGTATGAAGCACGTACCTCGAGCTGTAGCTGGGTCCCTAGTTTTTTTTAATAGTCAAAACATACGAAAATTTTGGTTCACCTCGTTTTTTCAACATTTCAATTTATTTCGATTTTTCGCTGCTTATGTTTGTGTTGTATCGCAAGTAGTGCGAAGCTCCGCTTTGCCTCTGTGTATAGATTTTTTGTTTTTGATACGCTTCGAGTGTACTTTCTTTTACTTTTTTGTCATCTTTTTTGTCTTCGCTTTTAAAAAATTAAGATTGAAAAAATTCATTCTAAACTGATTCAAGGTGATGACGCGTCGAATCGTTTAAAATGTTGCTTCCTTTTTCAAAAAAAACCAAGAATTTTTTTAACGATTGCAATTAGGAAGATTTAGCAAATCGGCTTGTCAGGTTTTTTCTTTCTAAAAATCATAATCAATGAATTATTTCGAATATTTTCTTAATTTACTCCAGCATAGTTTCGAAAATTTAAAGCATATTCACCCAACTCGAACTTTTGAATGCTCATTTGGTGGCACTTTGCAGCATATCATTTCATAGCTTTTGTTTTATCGACATTATTGTTAGCGTTTTGCATAAGCGAACATAGCGTAAACGCGAGGAATTCACTTTGAATCTCCAGGTCAGCGGTTCGGTTCAGTTTTTTATTCAAGTTTTCGCCTTTTTTATTAAACTTTTTTGGAATTATAGAGCTGGTTTTGCCGTTTTCTCGCTTGTGGTTGCAAGATGCGGTCTCGCCTCTGTGTATAAATTCAAGGTCCACGTCTTCTATGCCTGGGACGACAAAGGCCATTTTTGAATGCGGTGAGGACCTGTTTCTATTTGCAAAGATAGAAAAATTTCCATTGAAAAAAAGCAGGCCCATCGTTATCAGATTAGTTTTTCTTGTGATATAATTTTTTCTTGTTTTTCTTGTCAACGCGGTTCTTGTTTTTTCTTGTGATATAATCATGTTTTGCTAGAGCCATAGTTCCTTTTGATTTTTTCTGTAATTTGTAATTTTACCAAACCTGACTTTGTTCAATTTCTTTTTTCTTTATTTTTCGCTGAAAGGTTTATTCGGCCTAACTGGTTTCGGCTTATATATTTTTGGGCCGGTCCCCTAATTTTGCGTTGTTTGAAAAAAAGAAGAAGATATTTGTCCGTTTGTGTTTCCCGAGCAGGAAATCCAATGAATCGCGCTTTTCCAAATTGTTTCAAGTTCTTGTTTGGAGTATTGTATTTTCATTTTTTTTGGCCAGAAGTTTAAAGTTAATTAGGTTTCAAAATTTTCTGGTTTCTGCGTGATTTAGCGTAGTCGGCGCATTCTGTCTTAACAGCTTGATCACCGGCTACCCTTGTTTCTTGATTGCTGATGTTAGTCTAGCCGAGGACTTGTGGAGAGGTTGGAAATATTTAGAGATATGAATCCTATCCAATGAGGTGTGCTGTTTTTCCCTTGAATAAGAGCTTTTTGCTATTTTTAAATATTTTCTGGGCTGGGTAATGTTGCCTTTTTCTCGAGGAACTAGCACGGATCATTGGGTCTTTCGAATATGAATTGCCTGCTCCAATGTGAATGATGTGCCTTAAAAGTGTTTCTGATTTTCAGATATATTAATTTGAATTTGTTTCTGGGTTGCCTTTATCCGTGATTAATCGGAGACCGTAAATCAAAATAATTTGACAAGGCTAAATTAGTTTCGTCGCCTGTCTGCATCCAAATGTATAGATACGATGCAGCCAATTACGATCCAACAGCTTGGGATGATACAGACTTGATTCGAGCGTACGACGCAGCGTTGAACTCTTTCGAGAAGAAATGTAAAGTGAACGGTGATAACAATTCAGCAGGGAGCACTGGCGGAACCATTCATAACAATGGAGGAGGGGCGAAGTTGAAATCGGCCAATTCGAGGAAATCTTACCCCGGTACAGCGAGGTCTAATTCGTCGAGGAAAAGTTCATCGACGCCGGATGGTGAGAAGGTATTGGTTTGGAATGTGGGCGATCGATGTAGCGCATACTTCACAGAGGATGGTGAATTGTATCCGGCTGAAATCATTTCCATAAAAGGAAGCTCGTGCTACGTCAGGTATTTTATAAAGCAACAGTTTGGCTTTTACTTACTTGAAACAGAGAAAAGACAGGAAAGCGTACCGAAATTTGATTGTGAGCTTGCGTTGAAGAGTATTGCAACCGGACTAAGTTTGTTCAAAAAATTTCGCGTGAAAAATTTACACAGTTTTTGTTTTATTTCAGTTGAGAGAGCAAGTGACTTGTAATCGGGATCTAGACTTTTTTCCCTTAAACAACTTTTATATTCTGCTGCTCAATTTCTTGCTAAATTTTTGCAGCTGTTGCTCAGACTTTCTCAATTTCGTGAAAATTCAATTCAAAATAAAACTATTTTTATGTTCATTTGAGGTAGTAATACCTTTTTCAAATAAATTTACTAAAAAAATTATTGTTTTTCGGATTTAGTTTCTGTCGGCTGATTTTCCGTTTTTTTTCCAATGCTACTTTTTATTATCTGGTACGCCTTTCAAGCTGTTTTTTTACAAAGCTTAGATTTTTCTTAATTTTTGATTGAAACCATTTTAACTATAATTACACTAGCGATAGCAAGTGGCTTGCAACCGGGTACTAGACTTTTTTCTGTAAATAATCTTGTTCACAGAATTGTCAAAATTAGAAATGGTTTTGGTTCAGCTCATAATGAATCCAAATTTCTTTGAGTCTCCGGCTTAGTTAGTCTGGAGGTAACGAGTACGCCTGGGACGGCAATGGTTTATCATTTGTCTGCTTTTATTATGTTGTCTTAGTTCCCACATTGTTAAATTTTTTTTGCTCTACGTAATCTATTATATATTTAAATGCTTCACTATCTCGTCACGTTTAAGCTTTTTTCAACGTAATATTTTTGCATGTTTAACGAAAGAATTTTTTCACGTTTCAACTATATCGTATATTGCAATGTTGAGCTTTTTTCGATTTTCCAGCTTGAATTCAGTGATAATCCACCGAGTTTAAAATAAGCAGCCCAATAGTGGGATGCTTTCAGGTTTCCCCAAAAGGTTGCGAATTTGGCCTCCAATTAAGGCTCAAATCCTTTTAGTGTAAGAGATACGACAGTTTTCGTGATTTTTTTTCTTCAAAAAATTGCAGAAAATCATATTACAAGATACTTTACCAAACTTCCCCTAGCCCTGTAGTAGGGTGCTTTCAGAGTACTCTCAAGGATTGCGAATCTTGCCTCCAAATATGACGGCTCAAAACTTGGTATTTTTCGAGATATGACGTTTTTTGTGGTTTTTCAAAAAAAAAATAAAAAAAATTTGAAATTTTTGACCCTGTAGTAGGGTGCTGCCAGGGTACTCTCAGGGGTTGCGAATCTTGCCTCCAAATATGACGGCTCAAACCCTTGTAGTTTTCGAGATATGACGTTTTTTGTGATTTTTCAAAAAAATTTCAAAAAAAAATTATTTTTTTTTGAAATTCTTTACCCTGTAGTAGGGTGCTGTCAGGGTACTCTCTGGGGTTGCGAATCTTGCCTCCAATCATGACTGCTCAAATCCTTGTAGTTTTGGAGATATTACGTTTTTGTGATTTTATCAAAAAATTTAAAATATATTTTTTTTTCTTCAATTTTTCAAGTTCCTCACCTTGTAGTTGGGTGCTGTCAGGGTACTCCCAGAAGTTGTAAGTCTTGCCTACAAATATGACTACTCAAATGTTTGTAGTTTTCGATGTTTTACATTTTCGAGATTTGACGGCAAACTGGATTTCAAAAAAAAGTTCATAAAATTTGAAATTGCCAACCCTGTAATTGGGTGCCGTCACAGTACACTAAAAGCCTGCATATCTGGTTTCCAATATATGCAGTTTTTCATGAATTGTCAAAAATTTCGAAGCAACGGAGTGCGTAACACGCTAGTTTATATTATAGGTGCGTATAGTCTTTTGATTTACGTCTGCTGTTTGTATTTTTACTAACCTTGACATCGTGTATTTGCTTTTTTCTTTCTTCGCTCAAAAGCTTCTTTTTCTTTCTTCGTTGTTTTTTTTTTCACTTAAAAACTATATTCTGTCCAAATGATTTTGACCAATATTTTATTAGCTTAGTAGCCTTATATTGCTTCGTTGTCGATGGGTAGTCGAATTTTTCTTTCATTAGTTTTTATGTTTTTGATAATTTTTTTACGACTGAAATGGTTTCTGCTCAGTTACTTTCGGCTGTTTTAACCGCTATGTTAGTTTTCTTCCGGTGCTAATTTTACATTCTATTGTCTTGGATTTTTTTCATTACTAATTTTCTAGTTTTTTTTTTCATTTTGAGACATCAAGTTTTTTTGGCTTTTTTCCTGATTGCATAGCACATGGTGCAAAGCTCCGCTTCGCTTCTGTGTTGAAAATTGCTCTTTAGTTTGTACATCTAGCAACTCTGATTTTGAATATTTTGTTTCGGTTGAACGGGTTTGGTTTATATCATAGTGGCTTAGTCAACTTATGTTGCTTAGGTTCACTGGCACTTTTTTAAAATGCTTTCGCCTATCTCTGGAGGGATGGATCGTAAAATTTTTTGTTCTAAAAATTTCATAGCTTGATTTTTTATGGCTAGTTTTGTTTTCGTCATAACGAGGGTGGACCCATATTTTTGTGTCTTATTTGCCAGTTGTTCATTACACAAGCAATGCTTGTGTTATAGTACGAGCTCACTTTTTTTCCAACCTTAGTCGCAAATATTGTTGCGACGCCGCAAATATTGTTGCGACAAAATGTGTTCATTTTGTAAGTGCTCATTTTGATCAATAACGAGCTATTAAATACAGCCAATGCTAACGATATTAACACAGACTATTATTTTACAAATTCCTGTTTGATAAAAACAGGTATCATGTTAATGTATGGGATCCTTTTTTTTGTTAATTATTTTTTTGAGACGTTTTGGGAAATTTTCGTTCTCGAAAACTACTCTACCGATTTTCAAAAGAGTAGTTTCAATGGGAATTCCGGCCACTTTTTTGTGTGCCTGCGTACTCCGCTATCCTCTTTTTACCTTACCCCATTTTCTACAGCCTTCGAAAAAGTGTGTGTGGGGGGGGGGGGATTTTTGACCCAAATTTTTGAGCTTTATTTATTCTCGAAAACGACTCACCCAAATCTGCGATTTTGGGTTCATTGGATAGAACAGGTTGGAAGCTCCCCTGCATACGCAACACAAATTTTTAAACACAAGAAGTTATGGCCCTTAACTTGTGTGGCCATTTTTGAACCTCTGTCTTTTGTCGAAATCTGAGATTTTAGTTTCAACCGAATGAACAGGTTGTGGGGAGCTCCCCTGCATTAGCGTTTACGCTCAAATTTTTCACAAAAAAAATTTTGAACCTCAGAAAAGTCAAATTTACGATTTTTTGAGGGTCTTTTTAAACTATCTCGAAAACTACCCTCCCAAAATCTAAGGTTTTCGTTTCAATGAGTAAAGTTGGTTGTGGGAAGCGCCGCTGCATAAACGATTACGCCTAAGTTTTTTACACAAAAAGTTATGACGCTCTGAAAAATCAAATTTTTGATTTTTTGACCGTTTTTTCAAACTTTTCGAAAACTACCCTCCCAAATTTGAGATTTTGGTTCCAATAGGTAGAACGGATTGTGGAAAGCTCCCCTGCATCAGCAGTTACGCCCAAATGTTTTCACACAGAATGACCCTCGAATTTTTGATTGTTTTTTGAAATTTTTTGTCTTTTCTCAAAAACTACCCTCCCGAATCTGAGATATTGGTTTCAGTGTGAATGACGGGTTGTAGGAAACTCCACTTCATAAGTGATTACGCCCAATCTTTTTACAAACATTTTTGTGACCCTTGGAAAAGTCAAATAATTTTTGCAGTTTTTCAAAAGTCAAAAACTTGTTTTTAGCAGTAGTCTACTTATTGTCTTGAAAACTACCAGTATCTCAAGCTTGAAATTTTAGGTTCAATAAAGAAAGAAAGGGTTGAGCGAAGCTCGTCTGTGTAAGCGCTCACATTCAATTTTTCCAACACATAAAAGTTATGGCTTTCAGAAAAGTCAATTTTTTGATTTCTTATCCGTTTATTTTAACTTCTCGAAAACAGCTCAATCTGATATCAAAGGTTGATTAAGGCAACAGGTTGTAAGAAGCCTCCGGTTAGAAACTGCTACACATTTAAGTTTGAACAAGAAACATTTGTTTGGGAAATTTTCAAAATTACCACTTTCACTCACTTTTTAATAGAGCAACAACCAAGATTTTGGGTGAAGTCCAATGCTTGAATTTTTTCTAACTACATACTTCATCCCGCATCAGTACAACAACTCAAAAAATATCAAACCGGTACCTCCAGCCTTATCCGAGCTTCTAGTAGGATTTTAATTTCAAGGTATCATGGACCTGTAGCGTAGAGCTTAGGGAAGGAGACCCGCAACAAAATAAGAGGGTTCACGATGTTTTAATCAAATTTTCCGTATATTAGTTAAAATGCGTCCGCTCTATAAATTGAGGCATGTTAGTTGGTATTTTTTTTTCAATTTACTGGTACTGCTAATGCGTTATAATTGGCTTGCGTCATTGAGCAGTTATGTAGACTCATAATTGGCGTGTGTCACTTAAGAAATTTTGTAGACTCAAAGTTTTACTCATTCAGTTTTCCCAGTGGCGTTATCGGTCATATTTTTGCTTGTGTATGCGAAGTGCAACTTCGACTCTGTTTTGATGCTTAATGCTTGCTAAGGCTGTTGGTGAACCTCATCCGGGAAAAACGTATGAAAATTTTGTTGATAATTTTTTTTCGACTTTTTTCAGATAATTTTTCCAGCTTGATTTTTCAAAAAAAAATTGACTCCTTTTTTCTATTCATTATGTTGTACTGCAATGTTTTAAAAGTTCCACAACTGTTGCAAAGCTTTGCTTCGTCTCTGTGTAATAAATTCAAACGCAACGGTTCTTTCTGCGAATTAGACGCCGAAATAGCTTTCAAGCTTAAAACACAATAGCCTTGAATTCGATTTGAAGGTTCCGTTTTTTCTAACCTTCTCAATGTCATTTGTAAAATTGCTTCAGGCAATTGAGTTCCAATATTTTTTTTGGAATTTTATGCAATTTCCGGTCAAAGAAGATTCTTCGATTTTTGTTTTAAAAATTTTGATCATACATTTTTTAAATCGCTAGTGATGCGAAGCTCCGTTTCGACTCTTTGTTAAACTATGATTAAAAGCCACATTCTATAGTATCCCTTTGCAACTCATTATTCAACTGTTCATGAGTTTATGTGAAAATCCGTTTATCGTTGAAATGAGTGTGAATTGCTTGAATTGGTCTGCACTAAATTCAGATCAGTTTTTCATCATGCTGAAAAAAATTTTCGCATCAAATTATGATCTAAAAGGCTTTGATATAATGACTTAATGACATATATAACTTAAGGAGCTCATAGGTCATTTAACTTAATTACCTATGAGCTCTTTCTTAGGTAGCAAAATTGACTGGAAAAAATTCAACATATCCCATAGTTCCACTCCACTCCTCGGAACATTAAAAAAACAGTGATATCTTGAATGTATTTAGATGTGATCGAATTTTGTGATGCTTAAATTCGTGTCAACTTGAAACGAGAATATTGAAGGGTTCCTGAATGTTATTGTTACGAAATAAGTTGTTTGTTGTGTTATCTAGGTATATGGACTACGGTAACAAAGAAGAGCATAATCTATGTGACTTGCGACCGTTCGAAGACTACCACTACTACGACACAGACATATCTCTAGACGCCACTGGCTCAGACATGAATCTGAACGAATCATCAGCGCACAAGTCAATCATGATGTCAGCAACAGGTTCATCCAGTCAGAACAACACGCATAACTCAATGCCAGCTTTCCCGACGGCGTCAAGGAACTTCCAGAACCATCCGCCACCCCCGGTTCCTCATGCTTTTTTAAATGGTGCTAACTCTCAACCAGGTTTTGACAACATGAGTAACTTAAACCGGCAATCGGCGGCTGTGCCTAATGGAAATGCATCTATGAACCCACCTGTCGATATGGATGGCTTCAACAATCCTACGTTAGGTCCCCCGCATTGTCCTCAGGAAATGATGAATGGACTTCCCCTGATTCCACCACCGCCTCCAGTGCCTGCAGCCAGTGTAACAAATGACCAGGTTTGTACCTGAACTTCAAAGATTTTCTTCGCTTTTTGATTGAACTTAGTCTAGTATTACCTGTACCAATATCCTTACCAAATCACTTCAAAAGGTTATCAAAGCATGCCGTAGTATTTGGGTAAAATTTATTGCTGTGAATGGTTTTGGAAAAGCAAGATTGATCTTTCGTAATTACTTCAGATTAAGAAAATTTTCCCGGCTCTGTTTTAGCGTTCGTTTTTTAAAAAGTTGTCATTGAGCGAAGTGAATACTTTTATTGTTCGGACCATTGAAAATGGGAATGAACTTTGCATTCGGGCGTGTTTTATTTTTTTCCACGCAAAATTAGGTACCGCAAATAATCATTGGGCTGGGTCGAGTGATATATCATACTCGAGCCTTTTCAGCCGTGATTTAAAAGACATAAATAAAACTTAATAAAACAAGAAGTTTTCCTAGTGTTAAGAAAAACTGGTTTTAAGTTTTTGAATTTTTGTCAAATTTCGAGCGAATAAAGCGATCGAATAGCCTTCGTAAATATAAAAGTTAGCAATTTAGGCTGAAAAAAGCTTGATTTTACTTTAAGGAAATCTAGTCTTCGAAGCTTCAATTAGCGCTTCTCTGTCAAAAAAGTTTTTATGAAATAATAAAACTTTCAGTGTATTTTAAAAATTATTTATTTTGGAGACAATTGTAGTCGTATATGCCTAGTTGACTAAATTCATACGCGTTCATATAGTTCTATCATCACACGGCGCACGTTTTTTTTGAAACTGTATGATATGCATTTTTTCATAGTATGAAATTGTATGATAGGCGTTTTTTGTCAACCCGGGGCATTAATGACTTTTAGTTTTGCAAGTGGATTTTTTTAGATTTCCCAGTGCAATAAAAAAAATTGCATATTGATCCAGTTTTGTCAAAAACGTTTATTTTTAAGAAAAAATTGTCAATATTAAAAGATTTTTGAAGATCAAATAAAACTTCAAGGCTTTAAATTGTACCATTGTACCTTTCTAAATGCTTCGAATATAATTAGTAGTTTTATTTCAGTGCCTCGACGCTTTTCCATCTGTCTGTTGGCTTGTTTGCTTTTTGAAGTATTGCTGTTTAGGCGCTCAATGCAATGCTGATGTCATGGTACATGGTCGGATATCACAGTGGGTACTATCTAGGCATGCAACATGGTATGGCCTCACAGCATCATCAACAGCAACAACAACAACAACAAGCTGCACCACCGCAGCATATTAACAACTTGAACGTGAAAAACTTCGCAAACACCCAACATCCAAATATCAATGTACCTACATCGATGCACCAAGATGTAGCAATATCTCAAATTGGACCTCCTCAAATGCCAAATCATGACATGGAAAGCAGTGTATTTATTTTGAAAAATGATCGCAAAAATGCTAGTGGAGGGTCCAATCTACAACAGCCAATCGGGGTCAACGAGCAGCAAAGCCAATTGTTTCCTCAAAACGGGGCAATAAGTGTCAGCAATTTAGGATCACTTCAGCATGTGCAGTCGCCAAATCAACAGTCAGTGTCGTCTCCTATAAACAGTCCGCTAAGTCAGGTGAACTCAGTGGTGAGTTCTTTGACAACGTCTGCAACCCAAGCGACATCAACCGACTCGAACCCTCTTGCGGATGCGCTGAGTTCAACTCGGGTTTTGAATAGTGGCGACAATATCAAAAGGTTTCATACCAACTCCATGAGTATCAATTCGCCGCAGTTTGATTAGCTGACTTTTTTTGACTGATTGAATAATAATTACTTCGCAAACTCAAAATATCTGCTCTTGCAATATTGAAGCAGCAACAAAATTTCAGTTTAAGTATTCAAAACTAAGTTTGTACGGCTGGTTTCACCGTCAAATTTAGACTGAGGTGAAAAAAATTGATATGAAAAATAATTATGAATTTTTGTTACCGTTTTGAACTACGTTGAACAGTTGTTACTAATTTATTTTCAACGAAATTTTGTTGTATTTCTACAGATTGATATCCTGAGAAGATAAGATTTTTGAAATAGTTTATTGGTCAAAAGTTTTTTCGAGCTATTTCACATTAAAGAGCGAGGTAGTTTTCAATAAATTCACAGGGATTTCGATTAGCATCGGCTGTAACCGCTTAATTAAAGTGCGTTGATTTACGCATGTATTTTTTATGGAAGCTTGACACTATTGCGATATGGTTCAGGCCTTATCTTGTTGAAAATCAAACGTCCTTCTGGAGGGTTTGGCATATCAACACTGGGGAGCAAAAAAAATTTGCTTAAAACGCTGGGCGTTTTTTTGTTGAATTGAAAAATTCGATACATCCAAAAACAAAAAACAACCTTAGACTGATTTTTTCGGCCCTCTGATTTTGACTATCGAATGAAGTTCGGGCTTCAAATCTTTCACATGACCTCTTCCAAAAATTATTTCACAGCGTTTTTCGTAGCTTTATAGCCATGTCCTCAAAATCAAAATTAAAAGGGCTGCAGTCATATTTTAAGTTGTGGTTGGCATAGGAATTCATTTTTTCTCTTTGTTTGGCTGTCAAACAGTTTTAGAGGGCTCTCCGATAACGGAATCATGTTTTTTGAAAACGCTGTTGGATTGTAAATTGTGATACTGGGAAATCATCGCTTACTGTTAAAGTTTTTTGTCGACTAAAATCCAAGTTTTGAACAATTTGGTTGTTTTGTTCTATTGGGGTGACCGCGGGCTTGCTTTTCATAAGATTATCTCGTGTCTGATAGTCGTCTTTAGCATAAATTGTAGGTTTTGGTTCTTTTACAATTTTCGCTAAATCGTTTACGGTGATATGAGGGTTTTCGTTGAAATACTTGAGCATTATGCTTGCCTAATCGTCGGATAATCGATGACCTCGCATTTCAAATTTTGTCCGATGAGATCTTAAAGGCTGTCATGTATTTTTCATGAAAAAAAAACCGCCGAAATCAGTCGATTGCTCTTTTTAGTTAATTCTCTGTTCCCATTTTTTGCAACTTTCTATAGTTAGTGCCAAATTGGCAATATCGGTGAACTTGAGCAATTTTTTACGTTCTCAAATGAAAAAACAACTAAAGCGTCAAAATGAGCAGGTTTAGATTAATTAACTTTGTTCACATTCGTTGACCATAAAAGATAATGCCAACAAATTTGGCATAAACTATAAGTCCATTGTTGGTAGACTGCATCGACTTTATCCTACTTTCCAGAGAAGCATGAGTCTAAACCTGAACAAATTGAGCATCGACAAAGTGGCTGTGGCGGGACAGCGAGTGGTGATGCGGGTGGACTTCAACGTGCCTCTCAAGGGAGAGACCATCACCAACACTCAGAGGATAGTAGCTGCAGTGCCAACCATCAAGTACTGCCTAGAGAACAAAGCAAAGAGTGTGGTCTTGATGAGTCATTTGGGACGACCTGATGGCCGACCTCAAGAGAAGTACTCTTTGAAGGTATGAAATTAGATTCAGACCATTTTTTTATTTCTTGTTGAACTTAAATTATACGCCCGGTACATTTTTTTTTGCCTGAGACAAAGATTTTTTCCGGAATGATAAATGATTGCCTCTATCATGCAATGAAGTGTCGGATCGATGTAATTGAAAGCAAAGGTCCATCTAAGAAACCATATTCTGCTCTGATTTGCTGAAGCTCATCTATAGATTGTAATTTATGCCAAAAATATCAAATTGAATGGGCCAATGGATCTATTTTCTGGATTGTTGCACAGACAAATATGCTCCTTTTAACAGTCCATTTTAGAAGATCAGAAAATTATAGTGAAGATTTGTATTTTGCAGGTCGTAGTTCCAGAACTGGAGAAACTCCTGGGAACCAAGGTTCATTTTCTCACCGACTGCGTTGGACCTGAGATTGAGAAATTCTGTGAGAGCCCTGCTGATGGTTCTGTGATTCTGCTTGAAAACGTTAGATTTCACGTCGAGGAAGAAGGAAAAGGCGTGGACGCCGACGGCAAGAAAATCAAAGCATCAGCTGATGATGTCAAAAAGTTCAGCGGATCACTTGCGAAACTTGGCGACGTTTATTGCAATGACGCATTTGGAACTGCCCACAGGGCTCATGCTTCTATGGTTGGGGTAGAAAAACCATCGAAGGCTTCCGGATTCCTGTTGAAAAAAGAACTGGCATACTTCGCAAAAGCTCTAGTGGAGCCGCAGGTACCTTTCCTGTGCATTCTAGGAGGAGCAAAAGTATCCGATAAGATCCAATTGATCACCAACTTGCTTGAAAAATGCAACAAGATGATTATTGGCGGTGGAATGGCATTTACATTCCTGAAAGTTCGCGACAACATGAAGATTGGAGGCTCGCTCTTTGACGAGGAAGGCTCGAAAATCGTGAATGAAATCCTAGAGAAGGCGAAAGCCAAAGGTGTAGAAATCTATCTGCCGTCGGATTTTGTGACAGGAACATCGCTGAAAGATGACACCGAAGTCGGATCCGCGACAGTTGAGTCTGGAATCCCCGACGGATGGATGGGACTGGACATCGGACCGAACTCTATCAAACAGTTCGAGGATGTTATCGCTTCGGCGAAGACTATCGTTTGGAACGGACCTCCAGGAGTCTTCGAGAACGAAAAGTTTGCTGCCGGAACCAAGGCTGTTATGGGCGCGGTAGTGAAAAGCACTGAAGCTGGAGCTACGACCATCATCGGAGGAGGTGACACAGCTACCTGTGCTGCCAAGTATGGAACTGAAGAGAAAGTTAGCCATGTGAGCACTGGAGGAGGTGCCAGTTTGGAGCTGCTAGAGGGTAAAATTCTGCCAGGCGTGGCAGCATTGACCGATGCTTAATTGACAAGATTGTAAACTTGGGTCAATTTTTTTTCAAGTGTGAAAAAGTAGTAACGAAAGTAACCGAAAAAACGGTTCGTATTCTGTACGCAGGTGTTTGACCCAGGGCAGACATGATTATCATTGACTCAATATGTACACTTCTAAACTAATTAGTTTGCATTGAATTGAAACATATAAACTGTACTGATATCACTGCTGATTTATTTGCACGTAGAATTGAACTGAATAGCTGAGTGAAAATCTTATGAGATTTGCACATGCTGAAATATTGACATTGATAACAAACTTAGATGGAATTAATTATGAAACTAATTTGTTAATAAATTCTTATATTGAACCTTATAGTATAGAGCAGTTAGGAGATATTCTTGTAGTTTAATAGTTCGTGCGTGTTATTTGTGTTTTTTAATGAATTTTGTGTAACTGTTTCGATAGTTTCTTGAACTTTAAGATCAGCTGAAAGAAACCACGTTTTCTACAACTGAAAGTTTGAACAAGTTGTTTTTTTTATAGCAAAAGTTATGTTATATCAGCTAAATTAAGTTTTTTTTTCATCTTATCAGCTCTGTTGGAAATACTCAGAAAAACAGAAATTTTTTGAGCATAATAACATTTCATTTTACATACCCGAACAATTTGAAAGTTGCTTTTTTGTTGATTGTAATTTTACCTATTAATTTTATTACTTTTTCCTTTTTTGCTTAGTCTTTTTTTACTGTTATACCGGCTTAGTGGCCTCATTTTGCGTCATTTGATATAGCCAAACAGTTTTTGTGTTTTGAGGGGGAGGGATTTAGAAACGTTTCGGCTTGAACGGTTTTTGATCCAGATTTTTTGGCTCTGTTAGCACTTGGTGAGTTATCTTCCGTTGCTAGTTTCATAATTTATTGTAATGGCGTGTTTTTTTTTTCATAACTAGAGATTCAGTTTTATCTAGTTTTTTCGCATTGTTTCTAATTTTATTTGTTCTTATAGGCGCAGAAATTTAACACAAATGGAGTGAAATAGACATACTTTGGAAATCATTTATTACTTTTGCGAAATCAAGTGTCTTCTAATCGGGAACTAGATTTTTTTCCAGTTAACAACTTTTCTTACAAATCTCACTTGCTGTTTCTACTTCATTATTCAAACTTAAGATTTTCAGTTTGGTTCGCACTTTGACTTGAGCTAACTCAGTCGCCTTCGTACCCTAAAGTCAAGGGTGCAAGTCACCGCGGTACCTTGATTTTTTTTCAGTGTGTGCAATAGAACGTTTTTTTTTTTCAGGTAAAAATTGAATTGTCGGATTTTGGTTTGTGTGCTCAAGTTTTGTCGGCGTAGTTGCCACATTACAGATTTGGTTGTGCTGCGAGTGTTGTTCAATGTAGTTTCAGGGGTTACTTTTCGACTATCTTTTTGTCTGCTCTTGAAGTTACAAGTGCAAGTTTGAAGTTGCAAGTGCTGTTCAATGTAGTTAAAATCTTTTTTCGGCTCAACTTGCCTGCTCAAAGATTGTCGGCTTATTGGCCTTATCGCAGATTTATTGAATCATTTTAAAGATTTTTTTTAAATCATTTTTTTGCGGCTCAACTTGTGTCTGCTCAAAGATTGTCTGGTATCTTTGCCTAAAATGAACTTCTATCTACGAAGACTTACGAAAATTTAATAACTGGAAAACCTTTTTTTTCCGACTAAGATAATGAGTTTTTGAGAGTATGATATGTTTAAGAGTAATGAACGCAGTGAATAGAGTAGTAAATTTCTGTCGGTTCGTTTTCGTTTTTTTTATTATCACGTACATTATCTGGTACTAGGCTTATCGGCCTTCTTAGTGAAGTATGGATTTTATTGTGATGCTAAACTATTTAACATTAGTTTTACCAAGCCTAATTTAAGGTTTTTTCGACTAAATGCTTTCGGCTGATGTTTCAACGGCTTAGTCATTTTATATTGTGTTTTTTTCACAATATAAATGTTTTTTTTTTTTTTTTTTCAAAAAATTTCTGTTCGACTTAATCAGTTATAATTTAAATGTATAGGATTGGGTTTTTTTTTACTTCCGAAAGTTTATTCACTTCCAAATTTCAATAAAGGTGTATCCATGGTAAAAACGTTTTTTCCCCTGTGCGCCTGCATAGTTGTGGGGTCTCTTTAACTTTAACCTACTGTCTACAGCCTTCAAAAAAGTCTCTGGGGTGAATATTCGAACCATATTTTTTGGATTTTGTTTTCGTTCTCAAAAAATCTATTTGAGATTATTGGTTCAATGGATACAACGGGGTTGCGGGAAGCTCCCCTACATGAACGGCTACGCCCAAATTTTTCTCCACAAGAAGTCATGGCCTTCTGAATAGTCAAGTTTTTTTTATTTTCACAAATTTTTTGTTACTCTTTGTCTATTTTCGAAAACAATCGTCCCAAATCTAAAATTGCGGCTTCAATAAAAAAACAGGACGTGGAAAGCTTCCCTGCATAATGCATTACGCCTAATTTTATTTAATCAAGCAACATTTATGGCCTTCTGAAAAGTCAATGATTGGTTTGTCTTTTGAAACTATTTGACTTTTCTCGAAAACTACCCTCGGAATACTTGAATTTTGGCGTTCAATCGAGACAACAGATTGTGTGAATCTCTGTTGACCAGCGGCGGGACCAAAATGATTTTAAACAAAAAAAAATGTGATTCGCAGAAAAGCCCAATTTTTGATATAATGTGACAGTTCTTTGGAACCTTTAATTTTCTCGAAAACTTCCCTGCCAATTATTCGGTTAAGTATTCGCCTTCAATCAACAAACCCGGTTTTGTGATTTTTTTCTCCTTAAGCGGCCGCGATCTTCTAATTGCGGAAAAAGTTATTGATTTCAGAAAGTTTGAGATTTTCAGTCTTCTCAGTTCTTTTTGTAGAGAAAAAAACTAAGGTTTTGGGCAAAGTCCAATTTTTGAAATTACCCATTTCATCTCACATCAGTATAGCAATTTCCGAAAATATTAGTTTGCTACCTCCAGCTTTAGCTGGGCCCCATAGTTTCTTCTACAACGTATTTCATTTTTTCTGCTTTCGTTTCGACTTTTCATTTTTTATGTTTGTTGAATCGCTTGTGTTGCGAAGCTCCGCTTCGCGTTTGTGTTAAATTTTGTTAAAAAGAAAAATGAAACTGAATTAAGTGGTAAACTGCATTAAGTGGTAAACTGCAATTATGAGAGATAATAGCTATTTTAACTTTAAACATGCAATAAAATCAAATGGGGAAGCCAGCCTTTCATCGATTGCTGGCAGTTTTGAACAGCAAGTTTCGTCTAATTTAAGCTGAGTACCGAAAATATCCATGTCAGTTTGTCTTGACACAGAACTTCTGAATTTGTGTGTGGTTCGATGTCAATCCAGGTCCCGCACTTTCATATGAAATCCTGGCAAACAAAGCAAAGTAACACCACAACTTCCTCAAATATATAACTCTAAATTGTAGAAGCATAAAGAACAAACACATGGAAATACGTTTCTTGTCAGAAATAGTTGACTCAAACACAATTATCGGTCTTACGGAAACCTGGCTTGACGAAACATGCGATCATAAAACTTATTCATTCTGCAAAACAACCCATGAAATTTTTAGACGCGACCGTAACAAAAAATGCACTGGTCAACACGCAGGTGGTGGTACTATTCTTCTTATTCCGAAAAACTTTTACCCTAAGATTCGAGAAGATTTAAATTATCTACGTCCCTCCCATTTTGAAGGACTTTGGGTGGAATATAGCCCAATCATCTCAAAAAAATCAAAAAGACAGATAATTGCTATTGCCTACAATCCACACAAACAATTCAAGGAAATTTTTATAGAAGATACACTAAAGGGTATCGATTACGCTGCCTCTGAAGCGCGAGATGTTACGATTTTGGGTGATTTCAATATCAACTACTTGAATAAACATGAAGCTAAATTTCTCAGCGATTCTATTAAACCATACAATTTGTCAATAACCAATAAGTCGATACCGACATACAACTCTAAAAACAGCCAATCCATTTTAGATAACATTGTAGCAACCAAATCTCTTTGTAAAGAAACTATTGTAGCAGAACCACCTATAAACACGGACCATTTAATAACAATGTGTATTAGCAAACTAAAAACGATTCGAAAAAGCCATTCCAATTCGAACTTTTCGCTTCAACAAAACCAATTATTGTAAAAATAGGTTCTGCGAGGAACTTAAACAGAGTCCATGGTTTCTCGTCTACCAAGAAAACGATGTCTCTAAAATGTTAATAAAATTTGAAGATATTTTTTCGCATGCCCTAAATGCTCACGCCCCTCTAGAGCAGAAGTATATCCGAAATAAACCGCAGCTACAGCTGTCTGGTAAAGTACTTAACTCAGTCAAAAGACCTTTAAAACAGGAAAAAGAAAGTCTTCTAAAGGCATTTCAATTATCAAGAACAGATGCTAATTTTGAAAACTATAAACGAATAAGAAATAAAAACAACAATCATCTAAAACATTTATACAAGAAAGAGAAAACAGCCCAATGCAAAATGCTTGACTGTCCAAAAAAACAATGGAATTTCATAAACTCTATCAGGAACACCATGAAACAGTCAACGCAAATAGGTGATCTACGGAATTCGTTTGGCGACACTATAATTGAAAATAAGAAGAAAGCAAATTTCCTTAACTACAGGTTCTCAACATTAGGAGAATACAAAAACGCAGATCCTCCCATAGATGTACCAACTGAGTACAGTGTACACAGCAAAACAAATAGGCACTTTCAATTCAAGTTCATAACTCACAAAGAAATGAAAGATGCAATTTTATTACTTCCCTTAAACAAGCCATTAGGACCAAGCAAAATCCCTGCTTGGGCTCTAAAAGACAGCATTAATACTGTAAACCCAATTCTTACGATGATTATCAATGAATGCATCTCGAAATCCGTATTCCCATATACCTTAAAAAGGCACACGTTTTTCCCATATTCAAAAAAGGCGACTCGACAGATCCAGTAAATTATCGTCCAATTTCTATTACACCCACTCTATCGAAGTTGAAAAAATTTTTTCATCCCAAATTCACGAATTCTTAGCAAATTCCAATATTCTAAATCCAAAACAATTTGGCTTTCGTCCAGGTTATTCAACTAATGATGCTCTTTTATACACAACAGAAAAAGTCAGATTCCATCTTGATAAAAATAACATAGCAGCGGCTGCATTTCTTGATTTATCTAAAGCATTTGATTCACTCTCTCATTCAGTCCATAAGGAAACTAAGTCACATTGGCTTTGAACAGTCAGCAACAACTCTTATTAAGTCATTTCTAGAAAACAGACAGCAATTGACAATAGTAAAAGGCGAACACTCAGATTGGCTTAAATTAGAGCAAGGTGTTCCCCAAGGTACTGTACTAGGACCACTGCTGTTCAACTTGTATGTAAATGACTTGCCACAAACAATAGACAAATCATATACGTTAGTACAATTTGCCGCCGACACGACTCTGCTTAGTTTTCATTCAGATCCCGAAACAGCAACAAAGAGCATTGAAAACAATTTCAATAAAATTCTCTTGTATTTTCACTTAAATCGATTAATGATTAATGTAGACAAAACCCAGTTCATTGTATTTTCTGCACCGTCGAAAAAGAAACTAACTGAAAATCTTTCATTGAAAGTTGGAAACTATCAAGTTAATTTAACAGAGACAGTTAAATTTCTCGGCGTCAATATTGACATAAGCTTAACATTCGACAAAGAAATCAACAAAATTTTACAAAAAATGGCTACAGCAATCCAAACGATAAAATGCATCCGAGACGAAATCCCTCTGCGTACTAGAATTCTCCTGTTAAATACTCTTGTACTGAGCCATTTGCACTATCCATGCATGCTCTTAAACGGATGTACGCAAGATAATATTGAGAAACTCGAAAATCAAATAAAATGGGGAATCAGGATAATAATGAACATAAGCAAAGGAGATTCCGTTACACTTTTAAGGAAACAGCACAAAATTCCTACTGCTCGGAATATAATCGAGTACCGATCAGCACACTACCTTCACAGGTTATGCCGAAACGATGCCCCAGCTTTCACGCATATAAGATTCCAAAATTCTGAATTCCGCTATAACCATCGAACTGGAACATTACTGTTCCCTTTAACATGTAAAACTGATTTCCTTCGTAAGTCTTTCTTATTTACATCAATCAGAAACCTTAACACAAATCCGAACCTTGTTTAATCGAAAACTACCGTACACATTGACAAAAACTCTGATAAAAAATTTCATCATAAGAAAAGATGACACCCTGTTACCCAATAAGGAGAGTCTTTCCGCATCCAAGGACATTTATTTTGTTAAATCAATTATTTGATTCGTCCTCGTAGTAATTTATGCTTTTTCTTGTTATGTTATATAACCATTGCGTAATATTGTACACTAGATTCTTATACAATCAGTTCTGCAACTGCATAAGTATATTGAAACAATAAAGTGTCCCCTCTCTCTCTCTCTAATTTAGTCGAAATGGTAAATTCTCTTCCAGAATGCTGATGAAGTTTCCTGAAATACGTAAAAGCATAAGAATATATTGTGCACTCCTAATTACACTGAATAAGTTGACTAAACCGAATCCATTTAATCGAGAAATAATTCAAAATCAGACGGAAATTTAGTTACAAAAAGTCGATGAACGTAGATTAGACACTTATATAGGCTGTGATGATTTTTTTTCAGGATAGTTCAAATTGCTCTAATAAGTAAAGATAATGCATTCATACATAAGAATGCATTTATGAATATTCTTAGCTTTATCTGCACTTTTTGCTAAAAGGTAGGCACAATTTGCTCTCCAATTACAAAAGAGGAAATCACGCAAAAAAACTTGATCGATTTCTAGTTTCAAAGTGGAATTTGAACTTTACTTTTCCCAGTGTTTTAAAACGTTACCTACCGCTCCAGTTTTTTTTAAAAAATTTGGTTTAATTTTATATAAAAAGTGCCAATCATGAACTATTTTTACAATTCCATGATCTTTAAGGCCAGATATTTGTTTTCTCGGATATTCGAAAGATGAAGTTTTTCACAAAAACAAGTTAGTTTGTTGTATGTTTCTTTGCGTTCATTGACTCTTTTCCAACTCTCTGTTAGCTATGTTATTTTAAAAAAGTACGCAGCTCATAAAAATCTGTTAAAATACGCCTGAAAGATATGCAATGAAACTCAAAGTTTGAATCGAATGACGCATCTGAGCAGTGAAAAAATAACATCCAACCATGATTCATTCACTGGAAAACGCATTTTTATCCATTTATTGCTCAGAACGATGTGCTACACTTAATTTAGTGAAGAAAATTGAATCAACTTTTCTCATTACTCTCTGATTTTTTTTTGTTTGTAAAGACATAGGTAGTTTTTTTTGTGTTCTTGCCATTCCCCACGCGCTCAAAAAACGACCTAAAATATGGACAAAAATGATGAGTTTTTTTGCGAATTAACTGTTTTGAGCTTCCTCTACTACCTGCATAGTAACCGGATACTGATGCGGAACTTCTGTATAAATTGTTACCGCTTCACTTCATCGAAAAAAAACTTTATTTGGCGAAAACATTCAAAACTGTTTTTTTTAGCCATCAAAGGAGGCAATCATCGGAAAAGAGTTTTCACAAGAAAAGCTGTTCCTCTTAATTCCTGTTAAATGAAAATTGAAAATACTAAGATCTTGAGTTTTGTGAGTGAGCTTAATTAATCAGTAACTTAACCTGCAGATGTATCATCTGATTTTTCGTGGTTTTTTACTGGACGGCAAAAATATATTGTCATAAATATATTGTCATAATAATGCGGCTAAGCCCAGATGTTTTTCCAAAAAAGTAATGGGCCTCAGAAAACAAAAATTTTTGGTTTTTGACCGTTTTTGAAATTTATTGATTTTCTCGAAGGTTATCCTGCCAAATCGAACTCCTAGTTATTTTCACTCCTAGTTGTTTTATAGGAGAACCAACTAAGGTTTTGGGTGAAGCCCAGTTTTGGAAATTACCGTTTTCCTTCCGCATCAGTTCAAAAAATTCAAAAATTATCAAACAGGTATTTCCAGCTTAAGCTGGCCTCTAGTTCAAATCAAATAAAACTGTTTTTGCTAGTTCGTTTGAGGTAGTAATAACTTTAAAATTAAATTTATTGACAACAAAATTTGATGTTTTTCGGACTTTCTGTCGGCAGATTTTCCGTTTTTTCCAAATGCAATTTTTAATATCTGGTATGCTTTTCCAGCTGTTTTTTTTCCAAAGCTTAGATTTTGTTAAATTTCTGATGGAAATCATTTAAACTTTAGTTACACTATCGATAGCAAGTGGCTTGCAATCGGGTACTAGAGTTTTTCCCGTAAATAACTTTGTTCGCAGAATGGTCAAAGTTAGAAATGGTACATTTAGATTTAAGTTATAATAAATTCAAGTTTTTTTTACATCTATGGCACTCTTGGTCTGTGGGTAACGGAAACGCCTGGGATAACAAAGATCCTGGGTTCGAATCTGTCAGTAACTGTTTTTTTTTCTTTCAAATGGGAACTATTCCGTTTTCAAAAAAAACTCGGCTTATTTTTGTCTTCTTATGTATTGTCGGCTTATTTGCCTCATCGTAGGAGTGTCCTGTTTGCTGTACGCAGATCAAGTTGTAGTTGCTTTTAGAGTTTTAGAGTTTTGTTTTTGTATTGCTGTTTGTAATTTTACTAACCTTGACTTCGTATGTTCGTTTTTTTGTTTTTATTTTCGTTTAAAAACTTTGTTCTGCCCAAATGATTTCGGCTTATATTTTATCGGCTTAGTTTTGAGTAGTTTCAAGGAAAACATAATTTTATTGCTCTCTTCTGGAGTGAACAAAATGCTAAAATTTTCCATGGAATTTTTAGTTTTTCATGACAACAATTTTTGTTTACGGTTTTTTGTTCTTTTTTTTCTATTCCTCTGATCCCCGCTCTATAGGTTTCGGCTTATATGAAATCGGTTTAAGGGTCTCGTTTTGTGTTTTGACGAGCGAAAAAAGTTTGTATGTAGGTGTGTTTGTTTTGAGGGTGAGGGGGACTTAATAGTTTTTCAGAAGTACTAATTTTTTTTTTGGCTTTTTTGTTTTTTTTTTCGGCTAAATAGGTTTCCCTTTATATTATATCGGCTTAGCGGCCTCATTTTATTTCATTTGACGGGCAAATAAAAAGATGGTCTTTTAAACTTTTTGAAAGGAAGTCTAAGTCTTGATTTTTTCGGCTTAAAGCATTTCTCCTAAGGTATTTTCGGCTTTTTTCACCGCTTGGTAAATTTTCTTCCGGTGATTATTTCATATTCTATTGTCTTGGCATGTTTTTGTTTCAAAACTAGCTTTATTAATTTTGGTTGATCTACTTTTTTCGACAATTGTCGATTTTTTTTTCGACTTAGCGATATCTCAGCTTCGCCTCTGCATTATAATTTTGATATTTGCTGAACTTTTTTGTAGTTTCTTGGCATCTTCAATTCTTTTTGATGTAATTTCTTTTATATCTTATGTGGCTTGGAGCAGAAACTTTGAACGTTTTCACAAACTGTATGCTTAGCCCACAGGATCTGAAAACTGCTAAATTAGAAGTCATGTTTCTGCTGAAGTATTTCAAAACTAAATCATTTCTTGCTTTTTTGGTTGCCAGATTAGCTTCTGCAATAATATGAAGCGGAAAATTGTACGGAAAGTAACTTCGACGAAAACTTTTGACCAAATGATGAATTGAGTTTTTTGTTTATTTTTGCTGCAATTGTTTGCTTATATCGTCCAAATTCAACAAATATAAATGACAGTCAATTTTTTTCAGTACTAGTTGTTGATTTGTTAGTCAGCTGCGTCAACATGAAGCTCGTGAAGCTGGGAGACATTGAAAGTTCGAAACTAGGCTATGGTGCCATGTCTTTGTCATCAAATATTTACTCAGTTCCTGAAGGATACACAGATGCGGACGGTGTTGCAGTTCTGAAACGAGCATTGGACTTGGGAATCACGCATATCGATACTGCTATTATTTATGGCAACGGCCACAACGAAACTCTGGTCGGACAAGCTATCGCTGGCTTGAACCCAGAGGAAAGAGCTAAGCTCTGTATCGCCACCAAGACAGGATTTGACACGAAAGCTGGAAAAGTAAGCGGGGATCCTGAGTTTATCCGCCGAACATGTGAGGAATCTATCGCGAGGTTGGGAACCTACATCGATATTTTCTACTTGCATCGAATTGATACTTCAACCTCTATTGAGGAGAGTATGAAAACCATGAAGGAACTCATCGCAGAAGGGAAGATCAAAGCTGTTGGGTTAAGTGAAGCTTCGGCTAATACGATCAGAAGAGCGCACGTTGTGGTTAAAATCAGCGCTATTCAGCTCGAATGGTCTCTTTGGAGCAGAGATGTAGAAGATGAGATTATTCCAGTGTGTAGGGAGTTGGGAATTGGGATTGTAGCCTACTCGCCTCTTGGTCGGGGTATGTTGACAGGAGCAATAAAGAAACGCGAGGATCTGAATGAAAAAGACTGGCGATTGAGGAACCCGCGTTTCCAGGGAGAAGCATTTGATGCGAACTTGAAGCTCATCAGCAAAGTTGAGGCAGTAGCTGCTAAAAAGGGATGCTCGACTGCTAATCTGGCTCTGGCTTGGGTTTTGGCTCAAGGCGATGACGTGGTTCCGATTCCAGGAACAGCTAAGGTGAAGAATCTTGAGGCAAATATGGGAGCCCTAGATGTCATTTTGACGAAAGACGAAGTCGATGAGCTGAGCAGTGTTTTGCCACCGGAAGCGGTGGTTGGCGAAAGATACCAACCAGGGATACCAACTTTCAAAGACAACTGAAACCCTTCTTATTTTTGATGGGTTTCCTTACTGAACATGTACCATTTCAGAAATTCTGCCAACATACCAACACATCGTAAAATCGACGCAATGTGATAACTAACAGGGTAGCTTTTCAGCGATTGATTACACTAAAATGTTTGCTCTTACAAACAAAACAATTTATCATTTTAGTTTTTAACCCAGATTACTTGCATTGTAAATATTATTGAAAATATAATTTTCCGTGAGAATAAGTCAAATTTTCTGAAAATAGTCTTTTTTGAAATTTTAAACCCTAAATTGGCATCAAATTTTAGAATGACGTATCTATATTGTTTCAGGAATTTATGCGAAAAACCAATGGAACTGAACCAGGATGTCGTGGACAGGTATTCTCGGCAGCTTATATTGAAAGAAATTTCTCTACACGGTCAAACCAAATTAGCCCAGAGTCGAATTCTGGTCATCGGAGCTGGAGGTTTAGGATGTCCTCTGACTCTATATTGTTGTGCCGCTGGAGTTGGCACTATCGGAATTGTTGATAACGATTGTGTCGAAGTCTCGAATCTCCACAGACAAGTGTGCCACGACGTCAATCAAACTGGTAAACCAAAAGTTGACAGTTTAGAAGAAACACTGAAAGCTTTGAACCCTTTAGTGAATATTGTGAAGTTCAAAGAAAAGCTGACTCGAGAAAATGCCGTTGGAATCTTTCAAAATTTTGATATGATAGTAGATTGTTCTGATAATGCGCCTACACGTTATTTAGCGTCAGATGCATCTGTAGTGTTAAAGAAACCGCTTGTTTCGTCTAGCGCTTTGCGTTTTGAAGGCCAGCTGACAGTGTACAGACCTTTTGAGGATGACAACCCGTGTTATCGGTGTATATTTCCGGAGCCTCCTGACCCTTCTGTAACTGGTAGTTGCTCTTCAGTCGGCGTGATGGGATTTGTATGTGGGGTTATGGGGTCATTGCAGGCCCAGGAGGTCGTCAAGCAAATAGTTGGTTTGCCCAATCCTTTAGTTAAAAAGATGCTAGTCTATGACGGATTAAGCTGCACATTTAGAACGATAAAATTGCGATCGAAGTCAAAAGAGTGCAAATGTGTTTCATTGCCGACTTCTTTGGACTCATTTGAGGACGTTGTTTTCAAATGCGGACCAAGTTGCAAAGTTTTGTCGGACGAAGAAAGATTATCTCCTGAATTGTATTCAAAAATGATCACGGATAAAAAACCGCATATTCTAATCGATGTTCGCAATGCATGCGAAACTCTTTTTTCGAATCTCAACTTGAATGACGAAGCAATGTATATGAATTGTCCGATCAAAAGTTTAGCGAATGATGAGAATGTTGCAAAGTTGGTGACTTCTGTTGAATCAAAGGCGCAAAATGGTGGTGGAAATACAGTTGTGGTGATGTGCAAACGTGGCAATAATTCTCAGAAGGCAGTGGAAGAATTGAAAAGAGCAGGACTGAATAAAACTGTTGAGCTCAAAGATATTAAAGGTGGACTGTTTGCTTTGAAAGACTTGATGCCAGAATCGAATATTTTCTTTTATTAATTTATCTTTTGAAAGTTTTTTTTCCAACTTTCGAAGAGTACTGTTCTGATTTGTGCTCAGTTTGTTTTTCAGACAAGGTTCAATTTTTTAATATTTTAGACGGAATTTTTTTTACTATCTGAAATCTCTCGATGTCCTGAGCTCAAGATGATTTTTTGTGATTTTTTCCATGAAATAGATTTGACAAATACCAGTTTGAGATAACTTGTTCGCGATTTTTATCGAGCTATTATTGCGTAATCGGCTATTTAATCCAGCTCAAAAATCTTTTCAAATTGAGTTTCGGTGATCTTTTTACTTTTATTAATAGATTAATGGACGCTTAAGACATCACTTTGTGCTGCACATATCGGGTGGGGGACGATTTTCACTATAAAAAAGTTCAACGCTCACTTTTTTTTAGAAATTTCATTTTCTAAATATAAGCTAATCAAAAACTGTTTTTTTTTCTGTACATTATTTAACTGCCGTTTCACTAAGTGATGGGGTGCGTTCAGGGTGCTCCAATGGGTTGCAAATCTGGCCTCTAATGTCACTGCTCACTTTCATTTACTCTCCAAGATATGACGTCTTATATAATTTTTTAAACTTAAAGAAATTTTGAAATTCTCAAACCTTTGTTGAAGGTGATGTCAAAGTAATCCATGGTTTGCAGTTACGGGCTACAAATTAGAGTGCTCAAACCTTTATAGTTTGCGATGTATGATATTTCTGATCAACGTTTTAGAAAACTTCATAGAAACATTTTTAGAAAAACAGACAGAATTAATCCGTTTCGTTGCAGACTTTGCCACCAAATATGGCTGCGCAAACCCTTTCTGACCTTTTTATGATCTTCTAAAAGTTTTTCAAAAAAAAAACAGACAGATCATTGATGTGCATTAATTAACAAGCTGATTGATGTGTAATAATAAACTACACTAGGTTCAAACAATAATGACCGCAAATGATAAACGCGCATGCTATTGAGATGGAATAATTAGGTGAATGTAGAATTTTTAAAAAAGAAAATATCAATTCTTCTCAGATTCTGTAGTAAAATTGTAAATTGCGTTAGTATCCTTTCTGTCTTATCAGTGTTTTTTAAATCAAAAAATGAAAAGCTGAAACCCAGTAGTTGTTGGGATATGTTCATTTCAGTCAAAAAAGAGCCGAAAAAGTGTCTAAATTAATTATTAATACAGTCCAATTTTTTGTGAAAAAATCATATGAATGCTCCGCGTTTGTTTTTCACGATTTCCTAAAACTTCGTAGTTTTATTTTATTTTTAGAAGAGTAATGAACGCAGTGAAGACTCTTATATAGGTCTTGATGTTTTTTTCCGGAAAATTTCTTCAAATATGCATAAAAGTCCAGTAACTACAGATGTGCATTCATACATATTGATGCATTTGTGAATGGATTTTTTGAGTTCAAGGTATATATGCACTTTTTTAGTTCAATAAAAATTCATATTCTGAAAGTGACGTAGATAGCGCTCTCCAAATACGCGAAAAATTGTGTACGATTTCTAGTTTTGAAACAGGAATTTAAATTTTAGATTTCCAGCAAAAAAAAAATATTGATCAAGTTTTCTCAAGTTGGGTAAGTAATATCAAAAGAAGTACCAAACATAAATTGTTCTAGAAGTTCAAAGAGATTATAGGGCATCTATTTTTATCTTTACACTTCGAAAGTTAAGATTTTTTTTAAAAAAGTCAGTGTTTTTTTAATGTTTACTTGCGTTCATTACTTTTTTTCCAATCTTCGATTGGCTATGTTTTCAAGAAACAATATCGACGTTCCATAGTCTCTCTGACTTTTTTGGGGCATACTTTTTGCGGAAGTAGAAATTGTAACCCAATATAACAGTTAGAGATTATTTGAAATACCCTGACAACACGAAGATAATCTGATTATTTACGATTTTTTTCAAGTTGAGTTGACATAAGACAAAAACTGATAAGAAACTTTTTTCTAAAAAATTTGTTAAATTGAACTTGGTGCCATTTATTCTGCAGAATTAGGGCTTAAATTTTACACCACAAATGTATCACCTTTTGCTTGTTGTAGTCCTTCAAAATATACCCAAAAAATTGAGTTTATTTTGGAATAAGTGTATCAAAACCAGTTTTTTTAGGTAGCTCAATTAAGTTAAAAAAGTGTTTTTTAATTAAGACAATTTGGCTACCAAAAATATATTCAGACAAGTCTTTTGAATTAATAAGTGTCGATACAAGTCCTTCTACATGAGATGCTCATTGTGATATAGTTTGCTCAATAATCAACCCGGTATTTCAGCCGCAATTATTGAAGCAGCGAATGGACCAAAAAATTTCACCGTTCTGGGTTAGAATTTAGGATCAATTTTCTCAGAATTAATAAACCAGATTGAAGTTAGTGACATATCATCAATTTTTCTAGTATCAAACGTGTTTTATAACTATCAGTTGAAAATTTCCATGTAGTTCGGGTCCTAAGGAATTAGACTCCCAACAAAACAAACAATCGCAAAAAACTTAAATTTAGACTATAAATCTGTGAATTTAGACAATAAGAACAAGGCCAAGAATAATTTTAGTTAATATTGAAATTATACAAAAACCAAAGTAAAAAGTTGTCACAGGAATTATCAAATTATTATAAAAAACTTTTACGAAACATTTTGAAGAAAAAGTTTAATTTGTATTTGAAACACATCAATTGGCATAAATAACCGCAGTTACATTTGGGCAGCCAGCTGTACTCAGACAGAGTTAATTCGTGTTTGGAATCGATTTTATCGCAACTTGCACGCAAGGTGTCGTATAAGTTCAATTACTTTTAGATCGTCTAATCTGCTCGTTGTCTAATTTTTTTACTCCCCTGTAGTACATCAGTGAATTATATTGCTTTGTTTTATACGAGTAGACAAGAATGTAATATCGTCTCAAGTTTTTTTTTCCCATGAAATTCGAAATTCTGCCAAAAAGTTTTCAATATGATTGCTTTTTACATTTGTGAAATGGGTTGCTCCTGTAAATCGCTAAAAAGTTTAAATTATTTTTTATGATTTTTCTGTTACGTTTTAGCATGCGTTTTGTTGGAAGTGGAGTGGCATTTAGAGACTGTAAATTGAAGTCGTGCTGAAATACTTGAGTTTTTTTACGTCTTCGAAAATTCATCAACAGAATTTTGTCGCAGAGGTTAAACGGTTATAAGCTTAGGTGAGTCAATTAATTGAAGCCAATGCTTATCGCTAACCTATTTTGAGACGTATTTGTTTGTCGAAAGCAGAAAATGTTTGCAATAATTTTTGCTGATGACAATTTTTTTACAAATGCAACGCTTTTGTTATAAAACTGATTCATTTTTTTCACCCGAAATAGCAATTTTCTGTTTTAAATTTTTGTTCTTTTTTGTTCCGACTTTTGACTTTTTAGTTAAGAGTTTTTATACCAACTGAATAAAAGTGTTGTTCTGAGCTCAAATTTACAGAGATATTTTGCATGTGATCATTTTTGTAAAGCTACAGAGGCTTGAAAATTGCTAATTTGGCCAAATAGGGATGATTAGTGCGCGATAAATTGTGTTCTTATAACAGGCATAAGTGGCAAATTAATGCGTTCCAAAATAAATTGAGGCCAGCAATTTAGTCCTATTAAAACAATATGAGATGCAAAATACACCTTTTGTACTTTAGACAGTGCGTTGAGGGACAAAATGAATAAATAAATTTGAAAACAAAAGGTTCTGTTTTTTTTCTTCCAAAAAATTGTGGCAAATATTCAACCAAAAGACTTTTTGTTCGACCGTAAGGTGCAGTCGGAACATTCATGGATTCGTCCTCCTGATCTACAAGCAGTCTCGTTCATGCAGTTTATTTTCCTTTAAAAGTTTCAATCAGGATTCGCTGTACCCGCTACTGCTAAATCCACTCCAGTTTTTTAGAAGCATTTTCATTGCTGTGTGATAACTAATTTTTGAGATAACTAGTAATTCAATTTTTGATATAACTAGTAATCCAATTTTTGGGATAACTAATGCGCGCTAATTACCAGCTTTCCTTCATTTGCGTTTTGTAGGCTTAGAAATAAAATCGAAAGAAGTCAGGCAAATTTTGTGATCCAATTTTTTCAATATCAACAACTTTGTCTCTGTGTAACTTTTGTACAAGAGTTTGAAATTTTTACTGATATCTTTTATGAAGGGCTTTGAAATTTACCATGCAGATTCGGTCTAATTTTTTTCATGATCACCAAAATTGGATATTTTTTTTGTGATATGGATAATTTTGGGTATTTTTTGTGATAATCGGTCAGAGTGAACAATATGAACTGCATATAATGCGGCTGTTTTTTAGCGAGCAATTAGAAGTTAACTTTGCTTTTGAAGCGTTGACTAATCAAAAGTATCAGCCTGTGGATTTACTTGATCAGTTTGTCACTCTTTTGTGTCATTAATATATAAGAGAAGTTACGAGCGCATTTTTTATAGAATCAGTTCATTTTTTTTCACAAAAGTTGCACAATTAGTGTAAATTTATCCAAATTTAAGTTTGAAGAATGAGTTTGTATCCTTGTGCTCTAAAATTTTTGTTAACGATCGTTTTTTAAAAGTTTTCAAAGTATGAAAATCAAAAATTTTCAGTTTTGTAGACCTAATTACTGGTTAGGAGCGTCAATTTTTAATTTTTTTTTGTAGATTAAAATAGAACTTTGCTCAATGTCAAACAACGCACCACAAAATCACAAGCATAGTGGTAAAGCGTTCACTGTGAGATCGTCAGATCATTTGTTTGATCTGTCAGAGCAATGGTAGTATATGAGGATCAGCTCTCATTTGACTTCTAGCTTCAATTCTTCCACAGCCTTACTGGCTTCATTTGCAATATTGGCCTCACTTGAAACTGCTAGAAGCAAAAAAGAGCTCTCAGTGGAGTTGGGAAATGATAGAAACTGTCTATGCTTAAGCAGAGTTTATAGCTTTGAGTCCTCAATTTATGATGATTAATTTTGTTCTGATTTTAAAAAAATATTATGATTTTTATTATTAGAATTATGATGATTTTCTAATTTTGATTTTTTCCTGAGTCGTATCTCAAATTTTTTCTTGCATAAGTATTGTTCTTGGGCATACTTGGGTTTTGGGAAATTTTATGTACGAACTAAAAGATTTGCAAGTTTTTGTTTTATGCGATTAAGTTTTTTTTACATTTCTGTTGTTTTTTATCAAGCACTGAAATGATAATGCAAATATGATGACACACTGTTGCTGTTATTCACACACGCGATTAACAAGCGTTCTCATACTAGAATTAGGGTTTGTTTCCCAAACACAGCTTGTCAAAAAATTTCTGAAAAATGACACTTTTTAAAAATTTAGCTTTGAAGTGTCAGTTATTTTTCAAATTTGTTTCCTATATTTGTTTTAAATTACCTACTCCGATTTTGCTTAAATTTTATATATATTTTTTGCTGGAGAAGTTTATGTGGCTAGATACTTTTCGGCTTTTCGGTTAAATCTCCTTATTTGCCTCATAATGAGTTTCTGAAGGCTAGCTTGTAATGCAATTTTCTGCAATTAGTAACAGGGCGGATTTAGGAGGTCGGACACCCCCTCCTCAGGGATTCGACCCCTGCCGACCCAAAGGGTCCCCCTTTGTTCTGTTTTGAAATATCCATTTTTGGCTGACGGACCCTAAAATATTTCTAAGTCGCTTTTGGCGCCTATATTCAATAATTTTGAGGGGAAGCGCGCGCCAAAAAAACTTAATGTTATGGTTAAAATTTTCCAAAAAGCCTATAAACGCCTTTTTATGACTGTTTTTCAAAATTTTGCCTGAACTTTTGGCCAAAACAGTGTCTTTTTAATGCTTTGGGAGAGCTCGGAAAATCAGTTTGGTCGACCTAAAAAAAAGGTCTTCAAAATTTTTGATTTTTTAATCTCACTTCAAGAAAATTGTAGATCCGCCCTTCATTTGTAATAAATTTTTTTGCCATTATTCCTAAATCAGATGAAAGCCAACATTTTCGTGGGTTTTTCTGTCGGCTGGGATCAAAAACAAAAAGATTTTTTTTTGTGACGAATCAATTAATCAAAAACCGCTGCAACAGAAGCTTGAATTTTTGGTTTCAACTATTTTATGTAAAATTGACGTGCTTGGCTGTGCCTCATTTTCCGTCTCAAAGTTTCCAAGGTAAGAATTTGAAAAAGAAACGAAAATAAACAAACTAACTTTAGAATAAATTTAATTTTTTGAATAGTCTAGAAGGTCTTGTTTTTGTGCTTAGTAGCTTCTTCGGTTCCTCTATTTGAGTAGAAATTACATAGGGGGATCGCCGATAACCTGAATTACTGAAAAAATAGGAAACTCAAACTCATTTTGCTGCTTTGGAGAATCTTCCAGCATTATTTACACCTTAAACACGTTTCGAATAAATAGCTGAAAATTATAATTCTTTTTAATTACGACAAAAACTAGAAGAAATCAACGCTTCTTTCATTTGATTGAAAGAAAAAATTGTTTTTTTTTTCTGCCCAGTCCGTCAATGTATTTGTTTATTTTTCAATAAAGATCAACTAATGTTTTCATTTTTTTGAAAAAAGTGTATCTTAGAACTTCTAAAAAGCTAAAACTTCGGTCTTAAAGAAAATCTAAGTTTGGGTCCAAACCATTTTTGTTGATTATTTTTGTTACAGCTCTCTTTGGTATTAGGAAATTATCGTGTCACATTTGTTTTCATTTTCAGCGCTGTATTTTATGTCGTGTTTTATCTTACAATAGAATTTTTTAAAACAACACCTGCTGGTGAATTTGCTCTGGCATCTATAATTGTGATTGTTATTATCTAATTATATTTTGAGAGTGTCATTATAACGTCACCAAATCATAAATAATTTTCATTCGATGGTAAAAGTTCAGAAGTTCGTGACATTTGTTATTCTGAAGGTAATCTTGCAGTACTAAAAATTAAAACTATTGTCTATATTTTTACTTAAAGTTTGTAATTCATTTTATAAAACGACGCAAATTTTTTTGTGACATTAAGAAAAATGGTAAATTTTGGCGCTATCGACGTTATCAATGGATTTGTTGGCGGACTTCTGCTTGGTATCAGTTCAACCTTGAATCTTCTACTTTTTGGAGCCCTCACTGGAGTGAGTGGGTTCGTTTCGACTTCTTTGACCCTTCGGCTCAGATCTGGTCTTATCTGGAAGTTGACCTTCCTTATCGGAATGATGTCTGCTTTTCTCATATTTGCTCTTGTATTTAACACGAGAGAACTTGAAGTGGCTTCCCGGACTGTGGAGTTGTATGATCCCGATTGGTCGTCCCCGAATGCGTTTCGACTTCTGATTGGTGGGTTTCTAGTCGGCTTCGGGACCCGATTAGGCAATGGGTGCACGAGTGGACATGGCATCTCGGGTCTTCCACGACTTTCACTTCGCTCTTTTGTGGCTGTCGGCTGTTTTTTCGGAATGGCTCTCGTGACAGCGAATATTCTTCATCACACTGGTTAGTTATTTACTTCATTGGTTTTGCCTGATCGGCATCAGTTTTGCGGTTCTTATAATCTGCTTAAAGCTCGATCGGGAGCAGGAAAACTTTCAAAAATCAGTAACATAGCGTTCGTGTTTGTGTTTTTTGCTCATTTCTGTACAATTTGCAGCAGGTTTTTTAAAAATGACCTCGCTTATCGTGTTCAAGATTGACATGATTTGCGAGAGCAAAATCCAGGACAAAAACTCAATAGCTTAAGCGGACGCCTCCATGTTAGAGATTAAACCCCTTTTTGATTATATTTTACGACATCTGTTTCCTGCCAAGTAACCCTATAATTTTTCTAAATGCGTTTTGGGAACCTATAGATATCAGTTTGGAGGGGCGAGCCGAATATAAATTTGGAGCGACCTGAGAAAAATCTATTTCAGCGATTGGTGTATTTGTCGAATGTTTTTGTACGTGTTAATTTTTGTACGTGTTAATAAGCAATGTAATTGAAGTTTCAAGCGCAACTACACCGCAAATTTGTTTCAGACTTTTTTGAGTTACAGCGACTAGAAGAAGCCCGCGAATCATTCGAACGAGAAACAACCTCACTTGTAGTGGGGGTCACTCTAGCTATAATTATCGCAATCATGATTGCCGCGTGGATCATCAGCTTCGTAGTTGAAGGAGCTGAACACCTTGCACGTGAACTTATACATAACGTCATCAAATTCTCTCTCGGTTTTGTATTCGGAATGGGTTTATCTCTTTCGGGAATGTCGCGACCCTCGAAAGTGCGGAACTTTCTCGTCTTTGACAAAAACTGGGACATTACGCTAATGATGGTTCTTATAGGCGCCATTGGGTTCAACCTGATATCTTTTCAATTGATTCTCAGAAAGAAAAAGGAAAAACCAATTTTGGCCGATGAATACCACTTGCCATGTAATAATACGAAATTGGACTGGAAACTATTTGCGGGTACTATTATTTTTGGAATTGGCTGGGGAACTTGTTTCTTCTGCCCTGGACCTGCCCTCCTGGCGGCCCTGACCACAAGTGCAGGAGCATTCTGCATGATCTTCACTGTTATCGGAATGTACGCGTTCGAACTATTTAATTTTGTACTTGAGAAGGTGAATAAAAAAAATAAAGAGGAAAAATAAACGAAATGTCGAGTCAAAATGGCAAACAGTTGATTTGTAGAAATAGAATTTTGTTCGTAAATTTAAATTTATTTTGAAGTTAAGATCTGTTTCAGATGTTTTCAGATCTGCAATAACCATGAAAAACAATAGATCTGAAATAACCCATTCTTGAAAAACCCAATCGTTAATTTAACTTTTTATAACCCATTTAAGATCGAAACTTTAGATTGTTTATTCTATTCGGACATAAAAATTTGATCGTAATTTGAGATTTTATAAAATTGTAATTTCAGATCATTAACAAAAAATTTACTCTGAAACTCATATTGTAATTTCAGACATGGCATTCAGATTGTTATTTGGAACTTAAGAAAGTCGTGATTTCAGATTTTTTGCCAAAAATTACGAAATTACGCTAACTTTGAGTTAACTAAGAGGAGAGCACTGAGTTGATTGGAGCACTTAGTTTAGCGGTAAGGCCATAGCTTTGAGACTGTCAGGTCCTATGTTTGATTCCCGGCCAAAGAAATGATAGTATGCGAGGAAGCGCTTTTACTTCATATCTAGCTTCATGTCTACAACAGTTTGACTGATTTTTACTTCAAAAGAAGCAAACAATAGACAGTACTCGTAAAAAATGCCTCTGCTCAGCAATGCAAACGAACAGAATTTTATCCGGACCAAACGAACAAAGTTTGAACAAAAGTGTTTTTCTCAAACTGGGTTAAGATTAGACAAAAGATAAGACCGCAAAAGTTGCCTAGGATTTTACTAGAATTAGTATGCTGAAAATTTCCCCTAAAAATGGGTAATTTTGGCTTTTTTAGTTAATCAAGACTTAGTTAATTACTTTTCAACTAAAACAATTCATTTTCAAAAGTAAATCGCAAGAAGCCTCTTACACAGCCCAACAATTTTCTAGAAGAGTAAAATCTGCAAAAATCTGTTTAAGAGAATATAATTCTGCTTGACAGCCAAATAGTAGGATAGTCATTTTACTATACACAGCTCATAATCCATGTAGTAGAATATAGTGGGGTAGTCATTTTACTAGACAAAACTCATAATCTTTGGTGAAAACAAACTTTAAACGTTGTGAGCGAAATCATGAAGGTTTACTCTTCTACAATTTTGTTGCGTTGTGTAAGAGATTTCTTGCGATATAATTTTTTCACTAGTTATTTCTAGTTTAATTTTTTTTTGCTGTTATCGCAAAACAAATTTTAGCAAATTAATTTTTGTAAAAATCTAAGCAACTTTTGCTTTCTTCTCTTTTTGTCTAATCGAGACCCAATTTGAAAAACGTGTTTAAAGTTTTGAATGTTTTTCGTTTTGTCCGGCTAATTAAATTAGAACCGTAGAAATCTAAAACGTGTCTTACAATGACTTGATAATATCTTTAGACCTGCTAAATAGTTTTTGATAGATTTCCGCGGTTCACAGAACGAAAACACTATTTTAGTTTTATTTCAGAGGAATTTGTAGAGACTTAACTATTTTTGCTACTTTCTTTGGAAAAATCGAAAAAAAGTTTGTGGTTATTAGCTTTCGGCAAATCCATTTGAAGTCGGACTGATATGGTAACGCCGCCGATAGACAAAAAATCCAGTTCCTTGTTTGGGCTTGCAATCTAATTGATGATTATTAGGGTTTTTGAACAAATTTTTAGAAGCACTGTAAATGCTTAGAGTGGTCCTGGGAAATTGCGTTTTTTAAATTCGTATTTAAAATTTACCTTAGTTTTGAGTTGCCCGATTTCATGTTTCAATATTTTTGATCCGACCATTCCTTTTTAGAGTGGCGTGGGAAAAGAATTGAGGCGTGGATTGGTTTTTGTTCGAATTTAGGTACTTCTAAGAAATTCGGACTTGGTTAAGACTAATGCGCTGTTGCTTCTGCCTCTGATTTCAAAAACTATCAAAAAAATCTGTGAGTGTTGGGATTGAAGGGCTGATAATTTCTGTTTTTGTTTGAACAGATGACACCGATTTGAAAGAACCAGCAAGGGAATAAGCAATGAACCTCTGTAGTGTCACTATGATTTTTTTTATTATTTGAGCTAAATTTAACTAAAATAAAATCTTGCAGTTTAATACATAGTTAAGCCCTCGCCCACAGCCTGAAAAACCAACAGAGAATCTGAAAAAAAAACGTGTTCTTCTATTTTTTTAAATGATTTAATTAATTATTTATGATTTTTTGCTCGAATCACTCTGTGCTATTTGCTTAATTACCGGTAATTCTTGGTTACACATTCGAGGGCAACTGTTGTCTCGTGATCGGTAACTACATTTTTTTCGCATTATTAATTTTTTTTTTTTTAATTTTTTTTTTTTTTTCTACATGTTTTGGTTCCAATGAGGTCACACATATATAAAAATTGATAGAATTCGTTTATTCAAATTCTTCGTTTCTGTACAAAACAGTCCCATGCAAAACAGTCCGATACAAAAAAGTCCGAAAAACAGTCCCAATTAATAATTGTTTCAACAAACCGATAGGCCGAGAAATGTCCTTTGTTCAACAAACATAACAAAGAAAATAGTGGCCGCCGAAGCCGCGCCAACGTGTTGCGAGCTTGCTAACAGAGGGAGGACTTAATACGAAGTTTAGAACAGGTTATCGCCCCAAGCGGACTGTTTTGCATTGGACCGTTTTTTCCTTCATTACATAATTTTTTGGACTATTTTATATTGGACTGTTTCGTATGGGATTGTTTTGTATATGCACCAAAATCTTTTGTCCAACATTTTTTATGTTTTAGTAGCTATCTTCTTATTTTTTTGTAGACTGGCTTGTCATTCTGTATATTGATGCGTTGGCAGATTTAGGGCGGAGTTGGAGCAGAAGGGGCCGGAGGGGTCGCACGCTTTCTCAGGGATTTGACCCTCCCACCAACCAAAACGGGTTTTTTTTCCAAAAATCTGCCGCCCTCGAGAAAATCCCTAGATCCACCCCCTGTTTTGATGTATCAGTCGCTTTATCAGAGTAGCTTTTTCAGTGTGTCGGGAGAGCTCAGAATATTAATTAGGTCGATCGAAAAAAAAAAGATGGATGAAGTGTTTGATGTTATTTCATCTGCAAATAAGTTCAACGTCAACCACGGGTTTTTGGCTTGAAAGTTTTTTTGCTTGAAAAAATTGGATCAGAACATTGCTTATCTAAAAACTCAAACTTAAAGTAATCTTTATTTCGATTTGTGAAAATATTACTCAACATTAAAACTGAACAGAAATGCAAATAAAATATTTTGTGCAATTTTTTCAGAATAAAATAACTTTAAATCAATCTTAAATCAACCTATTGTTTGAAATTCTGATGTGATTTTTACACAACTTGAAGTTAATTGTAGAGTCTGTTGAAAAAAATCTCGGGGACCAAGCTTCCAGGAAAAAAAAACTTTTTTTTTCACGCACATTTATTTCACGCACAATCTTTTTTCCCCGTTATTATCTGTCAAAGTCAAAAAATTGTTAAAATTACTTAGTAATTCAAAAAGCTGAGTCGAAAAGTTATTAAAATTACTAAGTAATTCAAAAAGCTGAGGCATTTTTTAAGATAAATTGATAAACTTTTTTTGAGTAATTTTTTAAAACTTAACCTGAATTTTCAAGATTCACAAGTAGCTCTTTAGTGTGTAAATTAGAAAATTTAGTGTGACCCAAGAAAATTAGAGTCACGAGAAGATTCTGGTGCTTAAACTGGAAACTTGGTTTGAAGTCTGGAAGTTTTGTCTAATATAATCTATTCTGTGCCATTACACTAGGAGTCGGCATGAACGACGCTGCGTTGGATCCCATCGCCAAGAACGACGCCGCTGCCGTTCCTGCCGGATGGTGCATGTGGACTGAGTTAAACATATTCTGAGCAGCTACTGCCCCTGCCCCATTTGAGGGGGTGCCGAAACCACCCGGGAAAGATGATAGCGCCATGTGGTGGGGGTTATATCCGGGAGGTTTTATGTCTCCTCCGAAGTGTGTAGTCTCGTGTGTAGTGAAGGCGGAACTTCCGAGTTTGATGGCCGCTTTTCTGTTCCGCGTTTGGATGTTGTTTTTCTTTAGTGAAATCGGCCTGTCAACCTGAAAAAAATGTAAGCCTCGTAAAACTAAGGTCGGTTATAATAGTTGGGTGCGGCATTTGATCAGAAACTCAAAAAAATCTCAAAAAAACTATCGAATTCAATCAAAATTGTTGTATTGAATTAAAAAAATGTAGTTAATAGTAGACATTTTGAATTTCGATTTTTTTTGCTAGTATTCAAAAATGAAACAAATGTGCGTACCGGATTTTCAAACAAACGGATTTCAAAATTCCACTGCTTACCTAGTCAGTAAATTTTTATTCCAACCACTTCACAGGTAGGAACCAGTGGCGGATTTAGGGAAGCAGAAAGCACTCATCCCCCCACCGCCCCCCCATGGATTTGACCCATCCTACCAACCTTAAAAGTTTTTAAGGCGCATTGGGCACCAATACATACAAATTTTGAAGGGGAGCGCGTTCCTTTTTTGGTGTCTAAAAACGCCTTGTTTGGCCTGTTTGCTTCAAAACAAAATTTTGCCCGTGGCCCAAAAATTTTGGTGAAAATAGGGTCTTTTTAGTGTTCTGGGAGCGATTAGAAAATCAATTTGATCAACCTAAAATAAGGTTGACAAAAATCATGTCCAAAATTAAACCATATCGATATCCACTTATCATGTCGATAACTTCATCCTCAAATTATGTCGATAACTTTTGTCAGAATTCAATTTAGATAGAATACCATCCAGTTCTCGCAGTCTTTTAACCTAATCAATTCTTGTTTACTCACAAAAATTGAGGGAAAATTAAGAAAAAAATTTAAAATAATTTTTGCATTTTTCCAATATTTATATTTATTTATTTTTATGATTTTATGATTTTTCTATTTAAAGCTTTGTAATCGGAGGAACTTTTTGTGCTCAAATTTTGACATTGAATTTAGTTTTTTTCCCATCTACTTTTGTCTAGAGTCCAATCATAGAAAACTCGTTCTAATAGTTTTTTGGGTTTATAATGTTTATATTGTATGCAATTTCATAAAAACCTGGCTAAGATTATACATTTCACAGTTACTTTTACCATAACCCAAAGTTTTGCAACTGGGTGCTAGACTTTTAAAAAATTCACGATTTTTCTGCTGTACTCTTCATTTTACTTTAATAATATATCAAATTTCATACTCAAACTTCTCGTTTAGCGTTAGCGCAACGGTAGGGTCCAATTGTCCAATTATTGGTAACTATAATAGTCTTACAATCATTAATCTCAGTAGTGTGCCGAGGAGGGGGGCGAAGATTCTCTCCTTCAATTTTGGTTGCCAAATTTTTCCCAAAGGATCCCCGCATTTATCCCCACAAATCGATTATATTGGATTTTCGTGGTCTATAATGTTGTAGATATAATCGATTCCCATGTTACGTTCAGACAACAAAATTGGACTAAAAATGGATTTAAATCCATTTTTTCTCGCCAAAACAAAATGCATTATAGTTCATTTTGAATCCATTATAAATGAATTATTAACAAACCCCCACCTGAACCCACCCCCACCTTAAGTTAAGTTGGGGGGGGGGGGAGGGGGGGGGGGTTGTTGTAAATGGGCAAACGCTAGGGGGGTAATAGTTAGGTAGAAAAAAATTCAATGGAACAACAAGTAACCAGCGTAACCAACTTTAATTTAAAACGTAGAAAAGACTTTTTGTACGTTGAAATTCGCATCTCAGAAAAGTAGAAAAAAATCGATTATAATTTAGTTTCATTGTCAGTGTCCACAAAAGTGAAAATAATTTGATTACAATGGATGAAAAAAGGATTTTGTTGCCTCGAAGAACAGTAATATTATAATCCAGTTTTAATTGATTATATTCGATTTATTTTCTTTTTTGTGGACACTGACAAGGAAACTCAATTATAATCGATTTTTTTCATGGAACTCCAATGCAGGTCCCCCTTTGGTATAATTTTACGAGATCATTTTTTGGCTGACCAACATCAAAAATTTTCAAAATGCGCCTTTAGCGCCATTATAAGTAATTTTGAGGGGAGAGGACGCGCTGAAAAAACGCATTTTTTTGGTCAAATATTTTTAGACTGTTTTTCTTTCAAAAAAATGTCGACAAAATTTTCAATTTTTTTCGAAAAACCGCTCCCCCCGCCCAAAAAAAAAATTAACTCTGGGCGTGCCACTGATTCATCTGCTTATTTTTTTGGACTTACCTTCCAAAACATAGAGGGTCTGATTTCAGCATTTTTTACTTCAATTGAAAAGATTTTTGCATATTTCCTGCGATTTTTAAATTTACCAGCTCTGAGCTTCTATATTTCCTTTATATTTTTTCCTTCATTTTGTGTATACAGTTTATTCGTTTTCAATTGTTTTGGCTTATTGGATCAACCGTTCAATTCCCCCCCCCCCCACGCCAAATCAAATTGGGGGGGGGGGGAGAAAAAATGGATTTTTTTATTTAACTTTGAGAATAGCCTTTCAAAATTAAGCGTTTTACTGAAAAAAATTGAATTGAAACATTAATCTAGGCAATTACTAGCAATAAAAATGCAATCCCGCATACAAAAATTTACAAATCAGTTATCAATTTTATTTGCGCTATTTCATGAAATGCATATTTCATACAGAATCAATTTTCAGATTTAATACATGCTTGGGGAGGGCATTCTACGGTAGGGCACTTAGGGGGAAATGTACGGTTGATCCGGCTTATTTTATGTAGTTACTTTATATTGCGTCGTTTGTAATGCGAAGTATGGTGTGATGTTTCCGCTGTGCTTCTGCTCAAAACTTCGACTCAACAGGCGTGCGGCTGCTCATTTTTTGTCGGCCTAATTTCCGCTCGGTAAATTTTTCTGATTCCTTTTTAAACGCTGACGTTTGTGTTTCTCAACTTGTTTTCCTCAATATGAATTTCTCTCGAGAAAAACGTCAAACATTTTTGTAGATCACTTTTTTTTTCAAATAGCTGGTTCGTTTTAAAGTTTCCGCCTCTCTTTCTGTCTACTATCTTTCAGTTTTATTTTTAAGTTAATTCGAAATTGCTGCGAAGCTTTTCTTTGCCTGTATTGTTTTTTCTTAATGAATTAAGTGTTATTTACCGAATGAAGTTTGAAGTAGAGTCCACACGCATTACACACAGGCTGTCCGCTCCCATTGCGACGCCATAATGTAGTCACAGAAGTGTTGCAATTACTACACAGCGTGCCCGTCTTCTTAGAAAGGGTGACTCTTCTCTTGGGTCGAACCAGAGGTCGGTTGGTGCCATTCATCTTCTGGTAAAGACCACAGGCATTGCACAGGTACTGGCCCCCAGCCCCCCGACGCCAGAGGGGTGTTGATGTGGTGCCACAATTAACGCATTCCTTTTCAAAATCTAAACAAAGAAAAATGATATCTTTCTTTTTCTTATATCAAAAACCTAAGTTCCTGGATAATTTTTGGCATTATACCTTTACCATCATAACTTCCAGGCTACTAAGCGAAAAAAGACCACAGCTGTGAATTTTGTTATTAGGAGTATATGAAGCCAATGTAGCCTTTTTTTTATTCACCATGCATAAAAACAAAATTTTTCAGATAAAGTTTTGATAATTAAATTTATTTTTGTATTTTCATATTTAAGCTGTTTAAATGGATGATTTAGCCATTTGGTGTTGTTTCTTCTTGATTGGACATATGGGTAGGAAACTGTGTTATATCCAAAGAACCGAATTTATCTGACAAATTCGAATTATTAGTAAGTCTGTAAACAAAGTTTCAATAAGATTTTGTCGGTCCTATCCATGCTTTCAAATCTTTCAAATTATTTCATCTTTATTTTTAACAGTTGCTTTGGAACCGTGCATTTTTTGGTCAAAATGATGACAAAAATGAGATCAATGAAACTTGCCTTTGCGTTTTGTCGAAGCCAAATGAATTCCACCTGCTGCTGACGGGTAGTAGCGCAGAGCAGCCATTCCGCTCGCGTAGAACGAGGAGCCATCTGGGGCTGTTTTGAAGGCGCCGTGCAGACATGGGTTATTGTAGGCATACGATGCCGCAAACATGTTGAACAAAGACGCCGGGTGAGGTTCCGAAGAACATTGCGAGACACCGGGACTCAACTGCACTGCAGATGTCGGAACCTGAAGTGCATTCGAGTAAGGTGTGTTAAACTGACTATTAGCCGAAAAGGCGGCCGGTCTCAATCCTTCAGCAAATGATGAAGAGTCGTTCAGTGAAGAAGGGTTGTTGTTGGATTCTCCCTGGAAGTTGTTCAGTGCCAGTCCAGAGATGTTCGCAGGGGTTGAGTGCGCATATGAGTTGGCTGAGGCATAGAATTGGGCCGCTGTTTTGAAATAGTCATCTGAAACATGACCCGCATTGGCAAAACTAAGATTGCAATCGATTATCGCAAGTAAAATCTACAGTTCAACAAGCTAGTTTATTTTTATGCGCTAAATAATGGATTTTTTTTACTATCAAATTGATCACATTCGATTGCAATTTATACTTATTTTAATCGATTCGATAGTGATGTAGACAATTTTACATGGTAGAGGAGATAGTACATAGTTTTTAAACTAACAAAGGTTATTTTCTGAGCTGAAATAATTTTCGATAACCTAAAATATATATCTTGCACGGATATCGTGTTCCATTTTGTATACCAATTTCGGAAATGTTTTCAGAAAAACTTAGACTATCAGACTGAAAAATTGACACTCATATGTTGAAAAATTAGGTTTTTAAGACTTTATGATTCATATCATAGACTTACAATTATTTGATGCGCCTGTATATTGTTTTGCACTCTGAATGCCAGCTCCCAATCTTCCATTGGGGTTGGCGAAGTTCGGTCCAGCTCCCCCTAATTTCCAGGGATAGCCGACAGCCGTCAGTTCCAGCAACTGGTAGTAGTCCATATTAGGAGCACCTGTGCTTGAACCCAGTGAACCCTGGTCTGTTTTGGCTTGGTTCAGCTGGGGGAAAAGTGATGAGTCATTTAGGGTACTGCTAGATTCTGGTCCAAAATGGGGGAGAAAATTGTTGCTTTGGGAAGCGATAGAATCTGCCGTTGTTTGACTGAAGTGCGGGTTGAATACTTTGCCGTTTGAGAATGACTGATTTCGATTGAAAGAGGAATTGCCTGAAGTGCCTGAAATCAGAACAAAAAAGAGTAAAAATTAGAAAAAACTAAACTTTTAGGTATTTTTCTTTAATCTAGTTTTAGGACCGTATGCAAGCCAATTATAGATCATAATATGCGCTTTTTTCACGTAGAACCAACGCCTTGCTTTTGCTTTATAAACTTTCATGTTAAGTTGCTTCGTTAACTTTATAAATCCAAAGTTTTAAGGGCTCTAAAAGACTTTTTTAGGAAAAGATTTGTGTTATTTGAGTGGGTGTTGTTGTTTTTAAGTTTAACCGAAAAAAAGTTACCTCAAAGGTTAAAAACAAGGTGATCAAATCCTAACTATTTCTGCTCAAACACAAAATGATTTGATATTTTAGCTCAACCAGGTGCTTTTTCTTGTCTTCAAAATACACTTTCAATCAAAACGAAAGTGCATTTTCTGGTATTTTCAAACCTCTTTGATTTTCGGAACGGATAAAGCCAACTTGAAATCACCCTTCGAAAAGTACCTTTTAGCTTTTCCATTGATCAATGTATCCGTAATTAAGCTCCATTACCAAATCAGATCCCTTTAATACTGTATATATTAGAGTTTGCATAAAACTACAACCCCCTATTAACTGACTAGCAATTTGAAACCGCAAAAGGTGTTAAGCACTTCGTGCCAAGATAACCAAATTATTTCAAGTTGATGCTCGATTATTCCAGTTAATCTTGAGTTCCTGAGTTAAAATAACCCCAAAATGACACCTGTGTACTTTTTATCTGGGAGAGTTGTGAAATTTGAAGCCTCTATTGCCAATATCTTTTGATCGAAAGTCGAGACAAAATTGCAAATTCGTTTCAAGTTATCGCCGCGTGAAATACTCTTTAGTTTGAGACTTGTGAAAAATAAACAGAGTTTATTAGAACTAGATCGTATCTTCTTCTGGCTTTTAATGGCGTTAGATCAGATTAAAAAGGCGAGAGATCTCGCTCGGAATTTGTTTCTAATATCCACGAGATCCTATCTTTCTCGGGGGCTGTTGGGCAAACTGTGTTGTATATTGGCTGGAGTTAGCCCAATTAAGTGGGCTTCACTTGTACTGATCAGATAACGTGTGATTGAAATGAGGGGATTGGGTTTGTTGCAAAATATTTCAGTTTTCAAATGAACCCTGATTAATGAAAAAAATGCAAAAGCGCTCAAAAATTTTTCAAAGTAAATGCTTGGAAACCCTAAAAAATAATAGAACTTAACTTACTTGTCAAAATTTTTACAACATTTTTTATAATGTTTTCAAATCAATGGATTCATCAGCTTATGTTTATCAATTTAATTTTTTTGTCAAAAAATAATTTTAATTATGTTTCATTTCAGAACTTAATTTAATATTCAGTTATACAAGAAACTGAAATATTTCATAATTGGTCAGAAATATGTTATGTCCAAAACAATAGATTCTCAGAAAAACAGCTCAATCGGTGAAATTGAGGGCAATTATTGACCGAGTATGTCTTGATGTCGTCAAATATTATTTAAGACAGCCTAGTAGTTCAGATTTTTTAAAAAAAAACAAGAAAACGGGCTTTCCCTTTTTAACTGATTGCTACAGTGATCTAGAATGTTTATTTCGATCTGATTTCTGCAAATTGTTTTTTATATATCTTTTGCTTGTCTCTTTATTTTATGTTCCTACTACTTCACGTAGTGACTGGAATGATATTTGGAGTAGAGAGGACTTTTCCACTCGATTTAAGGTACTTCACAAAAACCGTAGCAGTCAAAGTATGATATATTAAAGCTCTTTAGATGGGGGTTCGGATTCCAAACTTTCCTGTTTCCAGACCAACTTAAACTGAGAATTGAATGAAAATCTGAACTCAATATTCAATTTGCGACAATTTATTTTAACTGTTTTTAAGGCCTGCGGCGTTTTATTTTATTTTTTTTGAATTCACTTTGCTGAATCCACTTCGCGGCTCCATTTCGCTTTAAAAGCAAACTCAAATCATTTTTTCTGATAAATACAAAATTTTATTACAAAAGTTTGAGAGAGTTCAAATTCGGCTTATCTCAGAAGTTTAACCGGCTTTCATTTTTATAATTTCTGATTTTGCATGAAAAATTCCTTTGCCTTCGCTGGTCGGAACAAGCAAAAGTAATAGCCCATAAATGTTTTTACGGGCCATTTTTTTCTAGTCTATGCAAACAAATAGCTATGCGTTTTTGCTTTTTGCTTTTGTATTTCTGGCGTTTTTTGCTTTTTGGGCTGAAAATTGAGGCCTTGCTTCAAAATGATGCCTTGCGTCAATTTAGCAGCCGGAAAAGTGAGAAACTGGGACACTGGCTCAGACTTTTCAATTGCCCTTCCTTTTGACAATTGCAAAACAATTGCAGGTTTTTTATTCAAAAATTTTTATAAGCAAATCAGCATACACAGGCGCAGATTTAAAAATTTCTCAAGGGTTGCTTTTAAATTGACATACTAGTCAAGTTTTTTCGTATGTCGACCAGCTGATTTTCCGAGCTATTCCAATAATCCGAAGACGATAAGGAATCTATTTTGCTGAAGAGTTCAGCGCAGCAGTCAATTTTTTAAATAAACATGCCAATCAGGACGTTCTGGAACAGTTATGAACGCTTTGAACTGAAAATTCTGTTACTGCGTGCTCTCACCCCAAACTTAATGTACGTTGGCGCGGAAGGCTCCTATAGAAACGTTTCAGAATTGGTCGCCAAAAATGGATGTAAAAAATACCAAAAGGAGGCTTTCGGAGTGGTAGGCGATTGAGTCATAGCCATGAATTCCGTTAACAAGTATTGTTACCAACGGAAACGGAATACATTCTCCGCGTTTTTTTTCTGTGAAAGCTTCATGGCTTACGAGCGTTTTTTGGCGTATTTTAGTATTTATGACACCGCTCTGTTTCAATAAGTTTCGAAAATTGGAGCTCACTAAATTATAGACCGTTCGTTGTTTTGTTTAATGGTTATAAATTAAAATACACCCAGAAAGTAATTCTAAAAAGTTGAAAAGAAAAGTTTTTAATTTAAATTATTTCTGCCATACATTAACTTACCGTAAAATAATTTTGAATCTGCAGTAGTGCCCTGAGTACTTGCCAAATTGGCCCCAACCTGTGCCGAAGCTACAGAAGATCCGAAGCTAGTTGGAGTCGCTAGTGACGGGAACGAAGCCACGGATCCGGTCGATATACCCGAGTTTAGCAAAGCGGAATTCGCTGACGAAGAACAATTTAGGTTAAAACTATAAGAATGTAACGGGTTTTGATTATTAATAACCAGAGATTGCTGATTTTGGGTTGAGAGGCTGGCGGCGGGTGAATTTAGTGGCCGCATCGGGTTGCCACCGATATTGTTTGCGATCATTCGGGAGATTTTTGCGGGTGATTAACACTTGACTGGCTCTGTGTTGCGATATAAGAGCTCGCAATTATCAGCTGATTACCTTCGCTGGTGTTATGATAGGCTCAGAAGATCAGTTAAAATTTATGTCGAAATAAACAGGTGATAATCGATTAAGCTTCAAAACCGCGCAAATCAACACAGCTTGTACCTTTTTGCTTGTTCTCGATTGTGATTGGCTGAAATATTGCGCACCTGTGTCGCTCTGTTGCGCCCGGTGGATTATTTACAGGAATTAAGAATTTTTTGGCGCCAAAAGGGCAATTTGGTCTGACAACTTGCGTCTCTGACAGACAAAATAAGCAAGATTTGAATCTTCACCCTCTCTTCAAACGTGCTTCAACCCCTGCCGTGACTTAGTAGCGAAACATATACAAAAGTACATAATTTGTAGCCAAATTAATTTTCCTAATTCCTCGGTTTAGAAAAGCCCGCATGCCCAATGGTTAGTTAAAATAGTTTAAATAAACTATCAACTAATTAACCTACCTTAAGTACTGCACTCTAATCCTCTTTGGATTCTCGAAGGAAGTCGTGGATATCCGAATACACTAACCGTCGGCTCGACTTAAGTCTAGAGAAAATAAATTATAATAGCGAATTGTTTTTCCTGGAGTAGATAAACAACAGCAAAATTGTTTATGAAATCTGATAATCCCTAATATATGTTATCGTAAAGATCATTAACTTCGCAACTTTTGTCCGGGCAGTCAAGGCTAGTTTTAGCCCGCAACCAGAACAACCAAAATCTCTAAAGTTGTGAGTTTACCCCTTTTTTGCTTTGAGAACCAGAGCCAAAATGCGATAGAGAGACGTAGGTTGTTTACCGGGTGTTAGTAATCAATTTTCAGATCGTTGGTTCATCTGCCTTTTGGCGACAATCCACAATAAGCCCAATTTAGTTTTCTACTAACAAACCTATTTTGACGGCCGCGAGATCTTTCCATTCGGAAAACCCTAAGCCTCCCTCCTTTCATTTCACAAATACACTCTATGTAGAAAGAAATATGTTTGTGATTGGCTTCAAAAGTACAAACTCCACACAATCATTTTTTGAACTTATTGAAAATTTAACCAAGCGACTAAGATTTGTTGCATGAAGAAGGTTTCAAAATTTTTTACGGTTAAAATAAATCATGGGCAAAGTTTGAAAGATCTTTAAAATATATTTTATAAACCCCTCACAAAAGGAGGTAAGAGTTCATACTTCGAATCAGGGGCGGATTTAAGAGGAGGGGGGCGGACGCCTCCTCCCTCAGGGGTTCGACCCCCTGCCGACCCAAAGGGTTCCCCCTTTGTACTATTTTCTAATATCCATTTTTGTCGATGGCCCCTTAAAGTTTTCTAAAGGCGCCTCCAGCGCCAATATATACTAATTTTAAGGGGGGAGCGCGCGCTAAGAAAACGCGATTTTTTGGTCAAAATTTTCCAAAAAGTGCCTAAAAACGCTTTTTTTTGGCCTGTTTTTTCAAAATTTTGTCTGCAGCGCAGAAAATTTGGCCAAAGTATAGACAAAACAGTGCTTTAGAAGAGAGCTCGAAAAATCAATATGGTCGACAAAATTTTCGAAAATTTTTTGGAAATCCAACCCCCCCCCCCCTCGAGAAAATCCTAGATCCGCCCCTGCTTCGAATATAAATTAAAAAGCATGGGTAACCTTTTCAATTCTGTGTGCCACTTTTCTTAAAATCAAGGGTAAACCAATTTTGATTTTTATTCGATCGTCCATTTGAGGTTACTCCTTTGTAGTGCTGACTCGTATTTTTTAAGCCTCCAATTGACCAAAGTAACAACCCATCGTGTCGATTATCATTTCGCTTAACATTTTTCTAACAGATGTGTCTAATGGCTTTGTCAATATTTTGAAAGCCAAACATGATGTGTGGCTTGTTTAATCAAGCCTCTAAGCGCCAATTCAATACTTTTTTTAGCAAAGCATCGGTTAACAATCTTTTTCCTCTAATAAATTTCAGCTCTCGTCAGAATTTAGCACAGCTTTTTCCAAGATTTTCTTAGTCATTTGTGATTTGGCTCTATGTTTGCTCCTCAATTGGTTTCATTTTTGTTTGTTTGTCATTAGACAGTCATACGAGCCATTAGGTACGGAAAAAATGACTAGCAGGAGACCTCTCTTTGTGGAATGATTGAACCCCTATCAGCCTAGCCGGCTGCTCAACCACATATCTCAACTTAATTTAGAGCGCTCAAGTGATCGCCTTCCTCTTTTGCACAGCACGTAATTCTTTGTCCAAGTCTTTTTCAAATTTTCTGACAATGCTATCAGTCAAATTCTTGCGCTTGTCAAATTGTTTTCGATTAAATCATTTCGTTTTGATTTATTAAAAAACTTTTTTTTTCTTTCATAAAACCCTTGCTCCGTATCGTACAACACAGCCAAAAACCATTGTCCTTCAAACACTCTTAAATTTCCTAATTCAGCTAGTTTGGACCGTTTGTTTTACGCTCCTGGCATATGTCCTAGCATCCGCCTAAACCAGTACTGTTTTTGACAAGTTTTTTAAATTGAAGTTTCATAATGATTGACCTTTTAAGGAAAAAATCAATATGTATAATGAATGGATCGCGTAAATGAGTACTGTGATATTCAGTTTGGGTGGAGTTTTCCTAATATTGTATCGGTGATTTGTTTGGCAGTTTGTATGATGTGCTTTTCACTTTTTCTTTTGTCCCATTTCTTTTTAAATCAGTAATTTAACATGAATAAATTTTATAGATCGATCCAAGTTTGGGGTTTTGCGATCAGTTTTGATAACAATCAAATTCAGATTTTCTAAGCTCTATCTGGTTGAGTTTTATATTTTCCTGTGTTTTAAAAATTCCATTTAGGAGACACAAAATCTTTAAAAAAAAAAAAATTTTGATACGGCAATTTTCTTAGCCATCAAGTGGATTGTACAAGTGACAACTCTATATTGTCATGTAGTTTTTTTAATCATAATTTGACAAAAAATTTAATAAGAACTAATAATTATAAGATACGTTGAATAGAAATACTTTTAATTAACTAGGCTTCCAGCTTTTCAACCTTTACAACTTTTACTGAGCCTCCCTTTTTTCAATAAAATATCTTTCAAATCAATGTGTTAAAGATCTAGTACTAATTCAAGCCTGATGTTTGAGATATTATAAACATTTTTCTAGTCAAGGAAACTAAGTGCTTGTTCGATGTCATATCAGGTTGATAATGCCTGTCAAGAAAGTTAGACCCTATTTGACTTATTTTGACTCCACGTGGTTTTGACTCCACTTCAATACTGCACCATTTATAAAATCATTTGACAAGATGAAAAATTGTTGCTGCTATTCTTCCTGGTTTTTCAAAAGCATCCACTTGAAACAGCAAAAAAGTTTGAATCAGATAAAAATGATTCCAAAAAGCCGGACCAAGCATAATGCTGCTAATACTGCTGCAAATTTCAATTACAATAGTTAACCAGACTGCTCGTATTAAGGAAAAGCCCTGAATGTTGCAACTGCCTTTTAAGGTCTATGGAGCAGTAATATCATGAAAAAATTAAATGTTAAAAAAATATATATTTTTTCTAATTTGATTTTTTTTTTGCGAAAATCATCCACCCACACGCCATCTTAAGTACTAAGTGATAAATTTTGTTCCTAGACTAAATCAATTATGACAAATAAGCTTCCTTCAACCAATTTGGAACGATTTCTAAAACGGATTAAATCTCCGCTTAAGAGTTAATAGCGCGATATAGCGTTAATTGTCCCAAATTGGGCAAAATGGCAATCTTTAAACCCCCATAAGTTTAAAAAAAAAACAATCACAGGTGAAACATTTTCTCAAAATTACGCTCAGGACAACAATAGTTTTTGGATGATATTTTAAAAAATCCCTCAAAAATGGCTAGTTTAAAAGTCGAAATTTGTCTGAAGAAAAAAACCCACCCCGATCTGAAATATTCTGTTATTTCATTACGAAAGCCGGAACAATAACATTTTTGTTGAAATGGATCGCAGAAATGCATTGTACATGCTGTGCGTTATGTCTGAAATTGAAACAGAAATAAATCTCAATCTGTTCAAATTCTGCTCCTTTATTGAGTCACAAAACTCTAAAACACAATAATAAAAACTGAATTCATATTTTTTAGTAAACAAATAAAATTGGAAAAAAAATCACAGAACGTTTTCATTCGATTGCAACGAAAAAATCAGAAAAAAATGCTAGTTTTATTTTTTTGAAAGATATGTGATCAGGCTTAAACTATCAATACAAAATAGGAACAAAAATTATGAAAAGAGCTCATTTTTGAAATATTAACTAATCGTAGTCTTTGTTTTTGGTTTTAGTCTTTCTCACTTTCTGACTAAACTTCTCAATAAAAAATCAACTCTTTTGTGAAATATTTGAAAAACAATCAAGCTGAGCAGTCGAGCACGCTGAAGTGCGCTTTTTAGTAACAATTATTTTAAAAAACATCATTTTGGCTCAAAACATCTGTCAACTTGAAGCTGAATTATTTAAAACAAACTCAAATTATTTTGAGCAGTTTCATAAACTTATCTTGGAAATGATATGACAGAACTATATTGACAAAACTTATTATGAAAATTTGCATTGAATTTTTCTCTACTGAGCGTCCCCAATTTGATGAAAATGTCAAAACTAATGATAATCAGAATACTTGTATGGTCAGGGGCGGATCTAGGATTTTCTCTTGGGGTGGATTGAGAAAAGTTTTGACAAAAACAATGATTTATTTACAATAAGAAAATGAACAAAATTAAACAAAATTGAGTCTTCGATTTTTTGCGGCAAATCTGTCGATGACTTCTTCGACATTGATTTCTACATCTTTGTGGATGTAAGTTAGCGCCAAGTTTGAGAGTCGGTCCTCCTTCATGTTGGAGCGGAGGTATTTTTTTAGTAGTTTCATGCTCGAAAAAGAGCGCTCAGCAGTGCATACCGTCACTGGGAGTGTATCACCAATCTGGAGCAAAGTAAAAATTACTGGCATTGTGGCTTTGTGACACACTCTGAGTGCAGCTGTGAAGGTTTCTGGGGTATCGGTGTACAGGGGGAAGCGCCACATGTTTTTCCAAACTTCGAACTCGCTGGGGAAGTCACCATCTGGAAGTACTCCTTCGTATAACTGG